GTGAAGAAAAGACTCAACTTGAAAATGCTGAATGTGTTTCATTATACTTTTGGTGCGAAGGAAGTTCTGTGGAAACAACGGTCGATCAATTTTTTGACAATGGTTGATATAAATAAAACTTAGTAGATGCTCATACTCGAAATACGAAGTATCTATTCGAATATCAAATCAAAATATTTCTAGTTTGTCTATATAATGCTAATTCTTCAGTACGTAACAAATGATGCTCAAGTAGCATCTCGATATAACAAAAAAGGAAAACAGTGACAGTGTCCATCAAGGCAAAACTCGAGTCACCAAAATATAAGTTAGTATGGGGTAGGCACCTTGAGATGGGAATCTCTCTGTTAGAAAAAACGCACTGCACAATTTATGCATAAATAAAAGTCAATTACCTGAAAAAGTTTCGATATTCCCGCTCCTAATGTGTTTTTCAAACTGAATGCACCTTTTGACGACGTTCCACGTTCATGAAAGTATCCATGTTTAGTCAAAATTCACTCTTACAACGATCCTACTCGTTTTCTAAGCTGCTTTACAGACAGCTCAGTCATTTGCCACGCCGATGCTCATTTTTAGATTAAATGCTCACAAAACGCATATGTAGATGTTCAATTTGTGTCCGGGGAGATGCAATGTTTTCAAGTAGGTAATCAGTACATAGAGTAGATGCTCAGGTATATAAGAGTAATAATGAAGTAGGTACTTCGTACTTCGAATATGAGTATCTATTCAGTTTTATTCATACCACCCAATGTCTCGCTTCAATGTTTGATTATGTTGATTATGAGCACAACGCTGATCAACATCCATATCCGAATTACCCATGAAATAATTTATTGCGGATTGACTTCGTGGACCTATGTCAACTTGTCGTCTTTTCGGCATTGTAATGAACTTCATAAAACGACACAGAATTATTTTCACAGTCAATCAAATCTGTAAATTTTGTTTTGACAATTTTAAAATATTAAAAACTTCAAATTAAATCCTCGAATAACGGTAAAGTTTGAGGTTTTGTCGAAACCAACAAAGTGACTATAGGTAAATAGAATGGCAGATCAAAATTAATAAGACACTTTCGCAATGTGTAACTAAATTCACTTTAACCAAGACTTTTCTTAAAATAAACGACGTTTTTTTATGAAAAAACAAAGAACGACTTGAAATGCAATATACTTTTCACAATCGCACGGAAGAATTAGTTTTGTATGACACGTCAGTTAGACGACAGGTCCGTCAGGAACGCCAACTATTCAAATTAATTCGAAGTGGCGATTCCCATGCAAAATTTTTAGAATTTTTTTATCTTTTAGCTGACAGTTTGGTCTTGAAATATTTATGGAAATTCAGAGAAGGTTTAAACGGTGAGAAACAAAAATACTAAAAACAGAAATTCTATTTTCCAATATAATACGTTCTGAGCTGTGAAACATTTGATGTCTTTTGTCTTTTTAGAAATAAAAGATTGTCACTTGGTTGTCAAGAAGAAAAGTGCTGTTTTTAGGGTTTTACCGGCAATTATTCGAATTTTTCTCACCTTTTAAACATTCCCTAGACCTCCACGGACATTTCAAAAGCAAGATAAGATAAATGCGTTCAGCCGTTCTCGAGTTTTAGCGAGGCTGACGAACAGCAATTGATTTATATATATATATATAGATTTACTTTTGCTTGTTATTTCTACATGCCTTTTGCACAATAGCAAGATGTTGTTACCTTTTAAAACCCGCGAAAATTTCAAAATTTCACCTTGAACTGCGGTCGTTAACAAAATGGAACCCTACGTTGTTTTTTGTTAAAGCAACATGCGTTTAAATGCAAAGTGGTAAACCCCAAGTTTGAAAAAGTGCCTCTAAATTAAAAAATTGGTCTAAGGCTACAACAAATTCCGCTTCTATGAATAATTATAAAAAATAACCTTTATGTATGTTATTTGCCAAAATCAGTCTTATCTTATCAAGTACAAGCCCCGCCAACCCAAAAGAAGACTTATGCTAGAAGGTACTAACCCTGCCCACGCGCCCTTATTTTCTCAGAGGGTAGTACTTGCTAGTACCTGTTAAGATAAGTCTTATTTTGGCAAATGACATATCCTATGAGAAAATAGGGGTGGGTGGGCGGGGCTAGTACTTTCTTAGATAAAACTGATTTTGGCAAACGGCATATCCTTTGGAAAAATAGGGACGGGTGGACGGGGTTAGTACTTTCTCAGATAAGATTAATTTTGGCAGATGCCATACCCTTTGAGAAAATAGAGGGTGGGTGCGCGGGGCTAATACTTGCAAAGGTAATACTTATTTTGACAAATGACTCTGAGAAAATAGGGGGCGGTGGGCGGGGCTAGCACTTGCTAAAATAAGACTGATTTTGCCCCTATTAAATTTGTGAAAACTAGTTGCATTTAAAAGGTGTTAAATTGCATATTTCCATAGTAACGAGTTAAATTTCTAAATCTGATTGGATATTTATTTTTTAGCAACTCAGTCATTAATTCTTTTGAAACACTCTGTATAAGCAAATTTAAAAAATCTTAAATGTATATTAAAAATAAATTACAAGTGTAGAATCATCATATTTTGCGCATTTAAGATAGTACATATTCAGCAATATTTTGAGGAATTTTTACAAGATTAATAGGGGGAAAATAGTTTTATCCTAAGAAATACTAGGCCCGTCCACCCGCCTCCCCTTTTTCCCAGAGAATATGTCATTTGATGAAATAAGTCTTATATTAGTAAGTACGACCCCCGCCCACACGCCCTTTATTTTCTCAGAGGGCTAGTATTTGCTAGTACTTGCTAAGATAAGTCTATTTTGGCAAATGACACATCCTTTGAGAAAATAGGGGCGAGTGGGCGGGGCTAGTACTTTGTCAGATAAGACTGATTTTGGGAAACGCCATACCCTCTGAGAAAATAGTGGGCGGGTGGACGGGGCTAGCATTTACTAAGATAAGACTGATTTTTTAATTAAACTTGTAAAAACTTGTTAAATTTAAAAGGTGTTAAACTCCATATTTATTTGTTAACAACTCAGTCGTTAATTTTTCTGAGACACAATGCATAAGCAAATTTAAAAAATATTAATTATATATTGAAAATAAATCACAAATATAGACTCGTCATATTCTGCACATTTAATTAAAATAGGATTATTCAGCAATATTTTACGTTGACGTCATCAATTTTTTTGGGGGGATAACAAATACATATTGATCAAAAATTTACCATGCTTATGATAACTTTAAAACATCTCCAAGATTTCAGAGGATTCGGGTCTGCAGTTCCTGATTGAATCAATAAAATAAATTTAAAATACATGAATGCAGTGATCAATCACACACTGATCATATTTTGCACATTTTAGATAGGATTAATCCGGCAAAATTTTGAGATGACGTCATCAATGTTTTAAAGGGGATAAGCAAATATATTTTGATTAAAAATGTCTTATACTTACCATAAATTTAAAACAAGATTTCAAAGCACTTAGTTTGGCAGATTCAAAATTAAACTGAAAAATGTTGTTTTATAATTTTTATTTTCCAAAAATCTGGACGTTTTGGGTAAAAACTCAACAGGGAGTCATAAACTACATCTGTAGATACAATTTAAAACAATTTTGAATTGACCTTGGTGATGGGGATGATTAGACAAATTTTGGTTAGCGTTTTAGCATCTACATGATTTTCCTAATATAAATACAAAATTTGACAACAATCGGCCCAGTCCTTTCGGAGATTATTTGTCTAACAAAAATTCGGGACGGCAGACAGACGGACAGACAGGACAGACAGACGGAAACGGGAAACGGACTCGATTACAATACTTCCTTCGTCTACGTTCGAGAAGTAAAAAAGTTTGGAATCGAACCCGGCACCTCCGATCCGAATTACGTACTCTTATCGACTACACCACGATCGGGATGTCTTACGTTAATGGTAAACTGGTATGGTATCGTTCATTATGTTTTTGCGAAAATTTGGACAGTTATGGAAAAAACTCAAAGCGGTCTCGTACACCACACGTATAGGAGTATATTGTTGTATAAGAGTTAAGTAAATCAATTTCCGTCTCGTTGTAAATATTGACGAACCTCAGGTCCCCGACATTTGAAGGGCCGATTAAGCTGATTTAGAAGGTGAGAAGGGTTTAGAATGCGAGGTGCCCCTTGGGTAATCTATTGATAAGATAGTGATACAACTTATACGAGACGTAACTCGGCTAAATTAAGGTTGAATGCACCGTCAAAAAGTGGGCAAGGCCTTAGAGGACAGACTCTCCTAGGGGCTGAATACAACCCAAACAGGAGAATCTGATTGGGTGGTTTGTTGATGTGTCGTAGCAATTCCATATCAACACAGAGTCGGCCGCAGCACTACGAGGGCAGAATATTGCGCACACGCAGAACTACGAGTAACTAGGTCAAAGATAACGTACTTAAACGATAAGAACTATCAGACACTTGGGCGGAAATTCGGGGAAAACTCAACAGCGCGTTCTTCGACCACATGACGACAGTGGCTGGAGAAAGTTCTTGGGGCTGCTTCTGTTCATATTTGATAAGCAATGTGTTTCGTTTGACTTCTTGGAAGAAAGTGTAGATAAAAGACAAAGAGAATAAAGTTATTTAAAGATTATTGGAAACTACTTTTGTGGTACATACCGAGCAAATTAGAAATAATTTATGCACAATGAAGTATATCTATCATTTCCAGAAATGCAATATTATTTTGGGTATAAAATGAATGCTGTTAGGACGTTGTGATAGATGTTTCTAGACGTGTGTATATTGATACTGAAAATATTTGTACCGCAATGAAAGTTTTATTATTACAAACACACCGGAATATCGATTTAAAATTCTTACAAAAAATAACTAAGGGTGATACATCTTGTCTGAAGTTACTATACTACATTATTTTAAAGTAGGTGTTTCCGGACATCCTTATTCAAAACATGTTTCGAACAATATGGTTATTCTAATTTTTGTTCTAGACGAAACTTACATCGAGGTTACAAATTTCCTCCACGGAATCATTTTAAACAAAGTAAATTTAGATCCAAACGAAAGATGCAGTGAGGAATGCGACGTTTTTACTTATACAACAAAGTATCAGTGTCATGATAATAAGTGGTGTAAGCATCAAACAACCTGCCCAAAAATCATCAATTGTCACTACATCGATTCCTCGATGGAGGTTTGTCGTTCCGAAGTAAGTCCATTCCGTTAATACTACTGCCAATAATTATGAGTGTCTAGGGCATGTTTAAAACCAACAGAAGATACGATTACGTCAAATTCGGAAACGGAAGACATTTTGGAAGAAGCAAAACTTGCAGCAGATCTAGAACAACTGGCTTGGAAACTTACCGAAACTGGTTGGTCTATAAATGCTCCTATTGTTACTGTCTATGTGAAGAAGGACCAAAATTCTTTTCAGAAAGGTACATCAACATGCGTTTGACTGAGTCAAATAAAACCGACAATAAGTACGTTGCGGAACCATACTAAATTGAATTTATAAAACCTAAGTTTGTAGAGTTGTGACTGGTTTGCGCTTTGTCAAAAACCGCCAAGTCATTCATTTGCAAATACAAGAAGGCACACTTCTTCCGTATGGACAGATTGATCTTGACACCCTTCGGTGGGTCCCTGTTGAAGATTATAAAGTCACTAACAGCGTTTACCGTCCTGATGTAGACTACTATACCCTTAAGTGGGAGGAAAGAGATTTCGATTTAGCCGACATTATGGTTAAAGAAGGAAGTATCGTGACAGGAGTTGCGTTTCGGAAAGTCGGTGCGCGTCTACATTTGCAGGTTCAAGCAACTCCATTCAATTTCACATCAGGTAAACTTAGAAACGCGTTTAGTGTTTTAGAAGATGATCCTGATATTCGTCGCAAACACAAGTAATTTTAAATCAAATCGAGTTAATACATATTTAATCATTATTTTTAGATTTGCAAAAGAATTAATACTTGATAGGGTCGATATACCTATTCGCTCTGATTTACCTTCGGATAAGTTTACAACGAATAAATATGTAAAGTTTGTGAATACTGGTTACGACAAAGATGCTGGTCAAACGACGGTACCGTTCTTTGATGCTCAACCTTTAGTATCAGCAATACCGGTACCGTTAAGAGGAGTTGGAGTCTTTCATAAGGGAACTAAGGACTTCGGCGGATTTATTACCCCCAGAATTTTCACTTATAATTTCACGAAGCATTTACAGCCTATTTTTCCTCAAGACACAAAGGAACGATTACGCGTTGGTTAATTTTAGTGTACAAAATATTTGTATTGTGATATAATCCTTACAATATTGGATCATTTAGGATTAAGTAAAATATTTTTCTACAGTTTGTTTTGTTTAATGAAGTAATATTCAAGAGGTTCTATATTTGCCAATAATATAACTAGTTTTTATTTTGTTTATAAATACGATTACAAACAATGGGGGGTCACGTAACGTCAATCAATCCACAAGAATGTCTAGTAGAGACATTTTTCAGTAGGCTGAGTGACTAAAACGCGTGTTGGTCGTGTGCGCACCGCGGTTAATTTACCCCAAATGTTTTGTCAAAAACCATTTTGTTACCAAAATTGATCAACAAAATATTCTTGTTAATAGTCTTTGCCCCCTAATAAACTGCTCAGGAGTATAATGGTGACGATTTACAACGCTTGTCTATGCTTTTAGGTTTCTTGTCCGAAAGAATCAAGGGGTTTGTGGATCGGATGTCGTTGACCATTGAACTGTGATCGTCAACAAAAGTGGAACCTATGTTTTTTTATGGAGGACTGTGTTCAAATGCGAAGTGGTGAACCCTAAAATTAGAAAAGTGTCCCTAAAACAAACACAAAAGATGACACACATTTTTATTCCCAAAAATTCTGCTTTAGCTACGCAGTTTTGTGCTTCTTTATTTCGATTAAATTCGAATTCTGTGTCTTTCGAATTTATAACGATCATTCATTGAGTATTAAAATTACCTACTGAAATTAATCACCTACGCTACGCTCTGTCAAGAATTTCAACCAACAAAGAATTTACATGATGTTAAATTATGCCACACTCTATCATCAATATCAAACAACAAAATTACAAGATCTTAAATCATGTGTTATTTGTATTTTAAGTTATTCATTACATCAAAATGCGTGGACCGAAAGCTTCACATCACATGCTGGTCTCGCAAACACTGTTCGAATTCAAGCCGCAAAAATATGTATTACTCCTCTTAAACCTGTTAAAAAATTTAAAAGCCCTCCCGTTTTCCAAGAAGATATGAATTTGACTAACGGAGGTCCTTTCTCTCAAAATGGGTCCAGGTTTAGATCAGTTTAAATACCGTAAGTGAACTGTCATCAGTCTCGAGTGAGAAGTTAAGAAGCGTGATACAGTGTAATATTTACGTAAAAACATACGTACACTTTAGATATAACTCGAGTACACTGTACTATCCCGGTTCAAGTTAAATTATACATTTTTATTTCTTGTATGACAACAAAAAAAAATCAGTATTATACCAGAAATGTTTCGATGCATTATTTTATAATACTCTAAATTGTGAAATGTCTCAGTGGATGGATGGTCCTTCTTAAATTATTATTTAAATTAACCAAATTTCCATTTGTAATCCTAACGCAGTAATTGGCATTATTCAAGATTTAATTTTTAAAAATTTGAATCGCTTTGGAAATGTTCAGCGAAATAAATGTCGTGGTGGATTCGAAAGAGGAAAGGGGATTTTATGCTGATTTTGTGTTATATTTAATGTGCTCTATGACTTCAATTTTGGAACGTATTTACTCGGACGCTCCTCTCAAAGCGACGTGCGTACCGAACGATATTTTGTGTTTTGGACCATATTTAACATGTGTTTTATGTATTTTTATGTTGGGGAATTCGATTCACGATGTACTCTTGTTTCATTAATTTTGCCCTTTTCGGCTGGCGAGAGCGAGTTCTGCCCAAGTCTAGATTGACAAATTTTTCCTGTCGTTCATATGATTGAGTTCTAACTCGTAATAGCACTGTCCGGTAACAACGTCATTCTCACCAGCGTTCGATTGGGTTCACTGCTTGTGGAATTACGTCGCAATAAATTCTCTATCATCGTTTCCAACTTCTGGAGTCCGGCAGTATTTTCGGCGTCTTCTCTATGCGAGCTATTGGAATGCCATCTTCGCCGGTTTCGTTTTTCTGCGTACTAGCGGCCCAATGTAGCACAAACACGCACAAACTAATAATCGTATTTTTACACTAACCAAACTTTGACACTTAACGCACCAGATACTTTAGATAAAGCGGAAGGCTATCCCACCGCTGCTTTATAAGCCAGAAAGGTGTTTTATTCAATTTATTAAAAATATAAAAGAATAGCAACAAGCTCAATTCGTGTCCGAAGTGGTACTGACATCCTTCCATTCCCCTCCACCGTCGTCCAACGCGGTGATGTCATCACCACCATCTCGGAGTTCGGGGAACTACCGGCGTCAGCTAAAACGGTTACCGTTACACAAGTATCTTCAAATGAAACTTGCACGGGTAAATATTATGCAAGTAAGCCTGGAAACAATTAGAAGATGCCTAAATGAAGTTAATGTACACCCTCGCCGACCAGCGACTAGACCTCTTCTATTAACGGCAGCCCATCGTTTAAAAAAAAATTCAATCAAACAAATCGTTAAACATAGGCAACCATGTGCATGTTAGCGCTTTTGGATAGTGTGTAGTTCTGCTTGAAATTTTAGTTAGAGGGTTGGCAGTAGAGCGCGGCTTGATAGCGAGAAGTTGGCTTTATTTGGTTTGGTTTTGTGTGTGAAAGCATGGTGAAAGGACGCGGTGAGTAGGTTAAGTTAATTGGCTTAGTAGTTAATAAAAGGGAGGAATTAATAATTGTAACGACGACGCCACAGTTTTTTCCCAACACGCGCAGCTAATTCTTGCGGCTGTCTAATCGGAAAAATGCTAATTTTTGACCGACGCTAACACGTGTGGTAAATTTGTTTTAGTGTTTGTAAATTCACAGTTCATGTTAGGAGTTTAATCGTTAACTAGTTCTAACACAATTTAACGATCAGGAATTTGTTTAGATAAACACTTACTAGGAGATTTCATGAAATTCACTTAGTCAGGATAACACCCTTTGTCTACAAAGTTATGAATAAGTTTCTGGATGCATAAGATGCAGTGAAAGTAAACATTTAAAACGGAATTGAGGTTAGATCACACCGAAATACGTGGCAGAAGCGGAGTGCGCGGTTTCTAGTCGAGCTGGTGGGATTTATCGCGCCATCTGCACAAAGGATGTAGGTTTTGTATAGAAGTCAGGGGAGCGGTCGAGATGACGTGACGCTGTTAGCTCCAACCACGAGTTCACGACCCTAACGGCCTGGGTAGAGAGGCGCGTCTCTTTGTGCTGGACGGTAGTGCTTGCGTTAGATATAATTACCGTCGTGGGTAGAAGAACAGCCACGACCTGGAGCCCCAAACTCCGCTCGTGCTATAACACCTCCTATGGGTAACTTTGCTGTGCTAGAGAATGAAATTAGCATAATTTCGCGGGCTTTAATTTTTTTTTCACGTGTCAATCAAAGGCGGGATGTTTGGATTATCACAATATTAATTTTTCAACGGGATATAGAGGGTATAAAGGTAAAAAAATAAATTTGTACAATGTACAACGTTATTTATTTATCATTTACAGCAAATCTCAAAAAAAAAATCTTGTAGATGAGCTAGGTAAAACACTGCCGTTTCACGTTAAAACTATATGTTCAATCATACTTTTACAATAAATAACTAACGTATTTATGAACAAATTCACAATGTATATGAAGACACTGATATGGACGTATTGAACTGTGCCCACATCATTATTAATCTAAAACTAAATGATTATCACAAGCCATTACAGTATCTCCACACTAAACTTCACAGTATTCATGTGTGAATAATACTATTGCAAATTATATACAGTTATACATACGTAATAGTAAATTATTGTTCTTGCCTGTCAACGTCTGCTGAAAACTTTCCCATAAGTCAAATCAAAAATCCTACCAATAAATGTTTACACCTAACAAAATAAAAAAATCGATTCATATAAACAATCATCCGTTATGTGTATAATTTATGCTAGCACAATTTGAATATATTTTAGGCCCTGTGTTAGTTCTGTATAGTCAACCTACAATAGACTAGAATAAAGTAAAAACACAATGAAAATATACATACAGTGACGTAAATAACACTTAAAGAGAGAATGCGGTCTGTAAGATTTTATAACAATTCATTTATTGTAACGTTTTAACAATTCTCTGATTAAAACGTCTAAAAAATACATATTTCAGATGTAAATCGGCGAAAATTACAACGCATTACTATGTTGAATCCAAGTCTTCTCTATGTGATCAAAGCGGTGAGCTAACCACTGCTGTTCCAACAACTGATATCTCTCTTTGCTCAAATACAAAGGCTTACCGCGTCTGCAAACAAAGAAAAAAGTCGTCAAAACGTCAACTCAACGATTCAAACACTCACTTTAAATCTCTATCTTCCTCCTCAAATTCGTCTAGGTACAACGAACCCCATAAACACGCTTTGCGCCCTCGGATGACAATGATGTATGTTGATGTCACTACCAGAAAAACTCCAGTGCCTGCACCGCACTCCGACGCATGCGCAGTAGCCTCACAAATGTTCTGCTGCTTGCAGCAGCCTTGCTTTAGACAGACTATAGTGCCACACATCAGGCAGATTGCAGTTTCCTGCGGCACCGACTGGCACTGACTACACGGCCGCTTATGGTAGTACTGCAAAAAAAAAAAAACAAACATAAGACATTTTTGTTCCTCTATACTTTTTATAGATAAGCGGGCATGAGACTAGCATCCGAGTTGAACACTCTATTCTTGTTTTTAAACTGACATTCAAAATTAAAGCTTCAACTAGGGCAGAGTGACGGCTCGTCTGGGGCGTGTTGAGGTGTATTGTTCGTCCATAATTTGAGTTTTTAAACATTTTAAAAAACAATTTGAATTTTTAATTAATTTATTACACGATCTGGCGGTTCTATCATTATTTTCCAACAAAATTCAGGTAAATTAATTTTTTTTAGGCGAAGTTCAGCCATTTCAGATCTTTTTGTGCGTCGCGGTATGAAAAATGTCAGAGGTCAACACGTAGTGCGAACATTAATAAACTTTTTTGGTGTATTGTTTATTAGTTTATTACTTGAGAATAATAAAAAGATTCCTTGGTCACCGTCCGGTTATGATAATATGAAAACACGAGTAAGATTAATGTTCAAACATTTAATTAACATAGTTGAATTTGCGTTTCGAGACTTGATGAAGGCACGCATTTCTAAAATCAAGGTAATTTTAGAAAACTGGCGAAATTTGCAGTAAACTATGGACGAAAGGTGTAATAAATTTTTAGGTGAGTCTTCTGTTTCTGGCGGATTGTCGAAAACGATTCAAAATGACCATATCGAGTCAGTTAATGAAATTGTAGAGAATTGACGAAATTACGAAATCAGTAAACAATGAATATTTAATTCTGTTTCTGTTTTAGAATAATTTTGTTTTGTTTTCTACGAAACAATAGGTCTCCCGTTTCCGTCCGTTCGTCTGTTTATCTGCCGTCTGTCCGGATTTTTATTGGACAGATTATCTCCGAAACTACTGAACCAATTGTCAAATTCTATGTGTATTACGAATATCGGTATACGGTAAAATGTTAATCAAAATCTGGCTAATCATCCCGACCAACAATCTGTTGGCGTCATCTCCAAAATTTACAGTAGTAAATATTATTTAAATTTTATAAAAAAAGATACACTTGCATATGTGGTTTATGAATCCCTGTTGAGTTTGTATCCTAGACATTAAAATATTTGAAAAAAAAATCAAATGCTCTGAAATTTTGCAAACGTTTAAAGGTTATCGTAAACCTGGTAAATCTTTAATCAATTTTCTTAGAGGGTATGCAATTTTCCACAGTCAGTCTTATCTTAGCCCCGCCCACCCACACTTTATTTTCTAAGTAACTCATTTACCGAAGTCAGTCCTGTCTTAGTAAGTACTAGCCCCGCCCACCCGTGCTGTTCTCACTCTAACGATTTTATTTCAGTATGAGATCCATCCTTCATCAGGACTGGATAAAATGAACCCTTAAATGAAGGCGGGGAGGTGGGCGGGGTTAATTTTGTTAAATATAGGCTGTTACAAAAAGGTCTAATAATAATTTTTCGTTATACTATTCGCTGTAAGATTCATGTCTTATTTCAGAAGAAAAAATGAGAGAAGGGGTGGGTGGGCGTAACTAAGTTAACTTTTCCTTACTGAGTCTTTTACAAGCAAGCAATAGACATTTTAGTTTTGCCATAAAGTGTGCTTTAATTTATATTTACCAAAAATATAAATTTTGGTGAATTTTTTATCTATTTTTTATTCTATTTTAAGGTACTGTAACATTTTTTTAAAGCAAACAGACACCAATTGTGACGTTGACGTTTTTTTTATTTTAATTTTTTTATAAAATAACAAAAGTCAACTTTTGCGTACAGGTGTTTTTTACTTTTTTTAACATTTCATCCCATTTTTAAGATTATATATTAAAAAGTTGTGGATTTTTGAATGTTGCTTTTGCAAAAATTGTCAGGCATGAAGAGATAAAGGGAACACCCTGTGTAGTACTTGTAATTTAAGACAAATACGTCTGAAGATTTCAAACTATTCAGTTTTGCAATTCTTGATTAAATCAATAAAATTAATTGACTCAATCATTAATTTTTTTCAGACACCCCGTATAAGCAAATCTAAAAAATATTAATGCAGTGATAAATCACAAGTATAGACTCATCATTCTTTACACATTTAAGATAGGATTTATTCAGCAAAATTTTGAGGTGACGTTATCAATTTTTTGGAGGGGACAAGTAAATATATTTTGAATAAAAACTTATCATGCTTATCATAACTGTAAACCATTTGCAAGATTTCAAAGCATTCGGTTTTGCAGATTCCAAATTAAATGTCAAAATGTTGTTTCCTAATTTTGATTTTTTTTACAAAAATCTGGACGTTTCGGGTAAAATCTTAATTCGGTGTCATAAACTAAATGTGTAAGACTATGTTTGTTGATACAATTTAAAACCCATTTACTATGTACAATTTTGAATTGACGTCATGACTTTAGTGGTGGGGATGATTAGACAAATTTTGGTTAGCGTTTTACCATCTACATGATATACCTAATATAAATACAAAATTTGACGCTTACGCTCGGGAAGTAAAAATGAAAGAAAGGGTGGGTGGGCGGGGCTAAGATTCTTTAATTTATATTTACCAAATATAAATTTTCGTGGTTCTAAAAGCATTGTTTGTTATTTCAAATCCAATCCTCATCTGAAGGACTCGGTTTGGATTATCGAACATTTCAGACGAAATTTCTAAATCGAGATCAGTAGAAAGTAAAATGGTACGTTTCACCCCACATTTTTTTCATCTATTTAAGCTATTTTTAAATATGTTTTATCTACTTTAAGGTACTGTAACATTTTTTTAAGCAAACAAGGACTAATTTTGACGTTGAAGTTAAGTCAATTTTTGTCGTACAGGTTTTTTGATGCATTTTTTAAGATCATTTTTTTAAAAGATCGATTTCTGAATATTTTGGCCAGATTCCAGCGCATCCATATAGAAACAGCTGACTTTAAAATTTTTACAAATACAAAATTCGCCTGTTATCTTAAAAAAATGATAAAGCACTTTATAATCAATTAAAAAAACAAAATGTGGGGTGAAACGTACCATTTTACATACTAACTACTAATTTGTCGCCTTTTTTTTGGTATCATATACATTTAATTTTATAGGATTGCATATTCGTGCACGTGTGAGTCATGAAACCGTGTCGAGTTTTCACCCTAGACATCCAGATTTTTGGGGAAAAAATTAAAATTGTATAACAACATTTTACAATTTAACTTCGAAGTTGTAAAACCGAATGCTCTGAAAACTTGTAAGCTTTGTAAGATTATCGTAAAACCAAAATTTGTTTAATCACCCACGCTAACAATGTGATGACGTCACCTTAAAATCTACCATAGTGAATGTAATAAAATAACATGTTTTTATACTTGTGGATTTTCAATTTTTACCCTGCCACCCATATTTTCTAAAATTTTATATAAGCAGTGTGTACACCATACTTTGTAAACGACGGACACTATACTTTGTAAACCTTAATTAATTCAATGTTTTAATTTTATACCATCTGGTCGAAAAAAAGAACTGACAAAATATGATATCAATTTTTTAAATTAATATCACCTGCCCCTTTGTAGCACTCGATTTCATTATCAAATATTCTTGAATTCATACATACAGACTGTTACAACAAAAATAGGTATAGAGTGTTTAACGTATATGCTGGTCCACCCCCACAGTCGCACTGATCCCAACTTGTGACCATTGTCCACTCAATAAATTTTAAAACTTGACATTAACACTACTCACCGTGAATATCCTTTCATATTCCCTAGGCAGTTGCAACAGTCGCGGTGGATGCCACGTTATGTGTTGATCCACCAAAAACGACCTAGCCGCGATCTGACTTTTATCCACGAAGACGACATACTGATTACACCACGACTGTGGCGACGCCGTATACATCTGCGTTTCCGCCGGCCAATTTAAAGCTGCTGCAGCGTTAAAGCATTCCCAGTCTATTTGTTCTGTTACTAATTCTAAGTAATGTACTAAGCAAACGAATTCCGTCTGAGGCGTACGAATATCGGGCAAAGGTTGCTGATAAATATGGTACTTCAGTAGTGCTGCTATACGAAGGTACGGCAAGCACAACTTTTGCACCTGAAAATCACAAAAGTTAAACAAATCAGTCGTCAGTTACTGGGTTTACTACGTACCTGCAGTTCTAAGGCAACCATATTCACTTGAGGTTTTTCGCTGCACCCTTCGTCGTCCTCCATGTACAGAGCTGTATTGCCTAGACATTTATTAATAAGCGCTAGAGCGTCCATAAGCGTACAGATCTTCCCTTCGTTAGCACCTGTCGTGGCTCTGGCTCTCTCCGCTCCGGTCAGACCGCACGAGATCTGCGCTACGACCTGGTAGTACAGCAAGTTGTAAACCATCTGAACGGTGGTGATGAAATAATCTGGACGAACAAAAGTTTAACTACGTTTTTCTATGATTTTAGGTCAAACCTACTTTGATCCAAATGCAGAGGTAACAGTAAGATGAACTGCAACAAGAGAGCTACTGGATCTTTGAGTAATAACGGCACTTCGTTCTCTATTGGAGCCAAAGCGGTGTCACTAGGAGGTTTCGGCGGTAGTCCGCACAGTTGCTGGAACGTCATCCAAGCAGGCCACCGTGCTAGAACTCTAGCTACCCGAGCATGAACAGAGAGTACATGAAGTAAAGGAACTGAAACGTTCACACATTAGAGACCATAGAGTTAAGTACGAGCAGTACCAACCTATACAATCTCGTTTAGGTAAGAATGGATTCGGGGGTTCGCTGGACGTCACCAACGTACCCCCTCTCTGGCTTAATTCGGTTTCTAAATTAGTTCTAGCTATGGAAGTTACGAATAGGAATAAACTTTGAGGAATCGGTTTGTCGCTCTTTGATCTTAACATCGGCTTTAATTGGGTACTACTAGTCATCACTTCCATTATTTTACCTATAGCTTCTGCCATACTCGAATTACTCTGTGAAACATTCGGAATTAAAAGTTGCCATTATATTAAAGTTGTCACTTACAGGTTTCTGATCGTTTTCTTCCAAGAAGTCTCTAAGTTCGTCTAGAATCTGTGACATACTAGAAGGATTCGATCTGACCATTTGAGCGCAATCACCCAATTGTGGTGCCAGCGGCAACACTGAATTCGCTAGCTGCCTACAAAGTGGGCAGAAATATTCACCCCTAGAAAAAGAACATCGTTTTAAAATGTCGATTACTTCCAACAATACAAAAAATTTTCACTACTCACGATACTTGCCGTTGTTGCGACCTTAATGACTGCAAATATGCATTTAAACAGTCTAAATGTAGATGGTGACCACACGTTTGAACATGGACACCACCGTCCCATCCCACATTCACTGATAAATACCACGACTTCTACAACACGAAACGTAAAAAAAAAACAAGTCACTAACTGCCAAGACTTACTGGATCAAAATGTCGATTTAGCTCCTCTAATCTCCGATCAAACTCTGCACTTAACGTGTCATCACGTCTCAGTAACGCCCTTTCGTCATCACACGTGGGCAACACACACTGCCCGTGCCTTCGCCTATGGCCAATCACGCTAGTCGCCTGAATCCACACCACCAATCCCATTGGCTTCTCTTCAGTACTAGGCGTGGCTTGGTTACAAATAACGCAATCATATTCTTGCTTACTGACGAACAACTCCTCATCTGAATCTAAAAAAAAGTACACGCTGGGTATGCGGATTTTGGCAAAATACGAAATTTGATTCGCTTTAAAACTGATGATAAAAAAATTAATTAAAATCAAGCTACTTGGTTTCTGAAAACACAACTTACTCAAAGCACTCTCGTCCGTTTCCATGGCCGTCTCCATAAACAGCTTCTGCTTACTCTTGAACTCCGCCATCAATTTCTGTTGCCTTTCCTTCGCTCTCCTCCTCCTCTCCTCCTTCTCTCTATTCTCCTTTTGCTTCTTCGCCTCGTCCCGTTCCTCCTGACTCGGCCACAACCTCATGCGCGTCTCTTGTATATATTGCTTACATTTCTCGTCCAATCTCGATATCTTCCTCAACAGTCTACCGATAAAGAACGGCCCATCACCAATCAAACTCCCACCCTCGCTCGCTCCTTCCTCTTCGTCTTCAGGCTTATAACTGTCAGGCACTCCCGATAATTGACAATGCAACTTCAACAACAACGTTATAATGCTTTCGTTTAAATCGACAGTGGGCGGGGACGCCACGCCCCCTTCAAGTGTCGGTCTCCTCCTGTAAGGTCTCCGGTGCGGCGCGCAATTGGACGTCGATGGTACTAACTCAGTACTAGTGGCGCCTTCCGGCCACTGCCTGGCCACCTCGTTTCCGGCAGTGAGAGCGGCCAGTTGTACCATCGGGGGTAGTGCGGGTTGTTCGGTCGGCGAATGGTAAGCAGGGACCACGGACATCGTAGGCACGGCCACCGCCATTGTTTCTACTTCCATGGATGTGGAAGGAGGCAGAGCCAACACCGGATTGGGTGTATCGTACGCAGGGGAGGAGTCCTGAGGAACGAATACCATGAGGTCGGTACCGGACTGGTTCCAACCACCCGTATCCGGCAACATCAAGATGTTGGTACCGCCGTCAGGATTGACGTCCGTCATTTCGGTGTCTACTTCGGAATTCTCGCCCCATTCGATGTCGCTGTCGGAGCTGTAAGTCATCGGGGATACTTCGGGTTCGGGTGTTAGGATCACTTTGTGGATGACGGTGGTGAGGTTTTCGAAAATGCAATCCGAAGAGAACCAGTTGTCGAAGTTCATGTCGTTGAGTTGCTTCTGGGGGAAGAAAGGCTTGGGGTCCTGAATACACTGAGTGTTAGAAACAGCGACTGGAAACAAAGAAGTGACTTACGTGAGATTCCCGAACCTCACTGATGGTGACAGCTTGGTCCAATAGGAAAACGATGAGTGCCATTACGTCTTCTGGGATTTGTCCGCGTACGGCTTTTTGCAGGATTACCAACACCGCAGCGTGAAAAACTTTGGATTTGAGAATCAACCGTGGATCGTCGTAGGCTTCAGAGCATCCCGTTGGTTCTCTGAAAGGAAGCCAAGGGCTTATTCCCGCTTTCACTTTGTTACTATCTTTCACGCTAAAAAAACGGACTTGTAGTTATTTTCAAGTACAATGTTTGAATTTCGTACTAGTCGGTGTATCGATCCATCGAAGTGTGGAAATCTCTGCGATGCACAGCTCTCAGCAACACGTGAATCGGGTTGTATAAATTTTCCCAGACGTGTGGTTTAGCCGAATACATCCCTTGTTGCAAATTACCCCCATTGGGGTCCAGAACTGGTCGTCTATAGTCGGCCAGTTCCGCCAACAACGTCTCAAAATCTCGAGTTTGAGACGTACCGCAACGTTCCGGCATTAGTTCCATCAGCTGAGAGTGGGTTCTGTCGCTCATACAAAGCAGGGTCACCATTTCGAGGCGGTTGAGTTCGGTTTCGGAAAGTCCTTATGAAAAAGAAACAAAAAATTAAAGCAGTTCATATTCGGTTAGTTTTATTTACCTATGTTGGTTCGAACCGTCACCAAGGTGGCTAAGAACGTCAGAAAGCTTTCGAGCATGCGCGTATTATGTTCTGGCTTCAAGTACGGATTTTGAGGCGCCCTTTCTGGCGCTAAACTTAAAGACTCTGTTACATGGAATCTAGAACAAGTGGTATTAGCATTGGAAAGTTGGAGTTGTTCGGGTACCTTACTTGTCTATAATAAGCGACGTAAATTCGTTCGGGCACATCCTCGTGCAAGCGATCTGCAGAAGATATAAATCTGCGTCTACCATGGAATTGCAGAAGTTGCCTTGAATGTACGTCATGGCTTGGCCTTTGATTTGAAGACCATTACGGACCCAGAGGTCATTCAGGATTTCGTAGAAAGCAACCTAAAAAAAGTATCAATAATTACAACCGAAACACGTACTTAGTGAATTTTAACTGTTTTTTGTCATTATACAGTGATGAAGTAGGCGTTCTGTGTAACTTTAAGTTGCCAACAACTAAAGAAATTTTCACTGCTTCTAGTAAATCAGCCAAGTTAGATCGCTGGTTTAATATGTATTATATATTACACCCACACACCCGAAATTGGTCGAAGGTTATTTCGACAGAACTTCCCCCACCCTTGAAGTACACTCCAACGAATTCCGCCTTCTTTGAGAAAATATAAAAAATGTTTGTTTGAAGTACGTGACAAATTGTCTGGGGTTTCTTGAGGACCCAACTACACAAAGAAAGTCATAAAAATTCCTCGATTCTTTTCGGTGAACGGATGAACCGGCGTCAATAGCACCCCCCAATCCCTGCGCCACGGGAACGCAAATTTCAATTATTATTTTATCAATTATCATTATTAAATATTTCCGGGCGCATTCTCTATTTTCAAGAAAATAGGGGGAATCAATCTTAATTTGATGAATAAACAATTCTGTGATGACGTGATTAACATAGATCATAGGTACTACTAACAGGCCATTACCAATGCCAGACAAAAAACACAAAAGTGGCCATTCGTCCGATGAACTCAATTAGTCTATTTCTTTAGCTTACGCTCTGGAATTAACAAAAGAATTAGCTTACGCTCGGAAAGTAAAAATTGTTTTGATTTGAATGAGTTGGTCGCCTCAAAACAGGGTACTACAATTATTGATACAGTCACAATCGACAGGATATTCTGAATACTATTATTATTATAATTTTTATTAAATAAAGACGGGCGTATTCTCACGTTTTAGAATAAGAGGGGTAACTTCATGTAAATAAAAATTGCTATGACGTCATAAATATAGATAATACACAATGCGAGAAAAAAAAAAAGAAAGGCCAAGTTTGCATTTTTTTGCAAAAATTTGGAAGGTTAGGGAAAACTCAAAGCAGATTCGTAGACCACACTTATAGGAGGATGATTAGGACAATTTTGGTTAGTATTTAACCATCTACATGATACCTCTAATATACAGCGTGTTACTGAAAGGTTCGTACAACAAAATTGATAGTTCTTCCCGAAATCTAAGAAGTCTGAAAAACTTATTTTGTGTTATCAAAATGATAAGGGGAAAATTAACCCTTATCCAACCTTTTTACTTTTTATCTTAGCAACTGTAACAATAAAACTTTTGTCAAGACTAAATGTTGCTATAGAAACGAGAGATGATCTTTTTATCAGAGGCGTACAACGAATTTGGACAGAAATTTTAATAACTTATATCTCTAAAAGAAGAACACTTTTACCTGAACTTTTTTAACTTTTAGCAACCATACTTTCAGACCAATTGCCGACTTTATTTTGTACGTACCTTTCAATAACACGCTGCATGTACAAAATTTGACAACGATTGGTCCAGCAGTTTCGGAGGTTACGTCTCTAATAAAAGTGGATACAGACAGACAGGGGGAAACGGGAGACTATTTTTTTCGTACTGTAGGGGTCATGAAACGTCGAGGAAAAGTGGCCATTCGTCCGATCAACTCGATTACTATACTTCCGTAGCTTACGCTCGGGAAGTCAACATGGAGGAATCTGGCCAAGTTAACATCATTAAAGATGTATTTATTGATAAAAGTCGTTTTAAACGATATTTATGAACATCAATTACTGATTTTTGATTCGTCAGTTTCCTTCAATTTTTCCAAGTCATTTTTTAATTATATGTATAGGTACTAGTTTTTCGCCCGTAACTTCACTCGTATAGACGATTCGTTGAGTTGAAAAACATTATTATCAAGTTTCACATAAAAATCGCCGTAAAAATATTTTCCTCATACAAACTTTGTCATCTCCTTTGGGGTTGAATTTAGGAAAATGCTGAAATACGTCTTTCATTATTTGTGTTGAAGGGCATGAATACCAAGTTTCATGTAAACATTTACAATAGAAATATATTTATCCTATTCAAACTTTACCACCCCTTCTCACCCCCTTGAGGGATGAATTTCTAGAAATCCCATCTTAAAAGCTGTCTTTGATATAAAATAACACCCCCTGCAAATTTCAAATTTTATATACAGTCATCAAAGTTTATTGGGAGAGTTGGTACTCCCTGTTTTTTGCAGTGAAGTTTGTCAACCTTATGATAGATTTGTTTAAGGTTATGTGGCAATGAATGCAGGGGCGTGACAAGAGAACTGGGGATTGGTTGATTGTCGAACTCCCCTGAATCCGTTGCGGATACGAAAGCTACCATTTTGCAAAGTTGCGAACGGTTTTAACGTTTGTAAACTAGACGCAAACATTTAGTGCGTTTATGGCTTTGACGTTTAAAGTACTTTACAGCCGACCCTACATAAAATTTAGCAAATGCCACGTGTCAGGGACGGTCGTGTGCTTTTACCAGAAAAAGTCTTTTCAGGTAGGTTATCAGTAAGCGGGTTTAAGACATCCGGCTGTGACGGTCTATTGAATTATAATGGGAGTTAATAAATTGGTGTGAAGCCATAAAACCACTAAATGTTTGGGTTTAGTGTACGAGTCGCCTTAGTCGATGCGCCCTACTCCAACTTTTTAGACCCCCCTTTAATGTTCGATAATTTAAAATAAAATTTTAAAGGTATACTGTAATTTAAAGAGCCATTTTACACGTCACAGAATTACTCCGAAAATTATCACAAAAATATAACGATAATTTATGTATAAATTTTGACAAGAATTTTGATGGTAAAGTTTGCAAGAAAATGCGCAAATATTCAAAACATGACCATTTGTTTACGTTTTGTTGGGGTTAGTCAACGTGTCAAGCAAAATTTTCACTCACATTATTTTGTTATAATTTTTGTGATCATTTTCGGAATCATTCTATGACGTGTAAAACGGCCACAAAAGTATATTTATTTTGAAGCAAATGCTGAAAATGTTGACAATTAGACATCTAGACAAATAGCAACTTGTGTTTTTAAATTTTCAAAAACATGGCGCAGCATAGAAGTACCAGTGACTATGGCAGCTTTCCTCCAGAGTGTTAAGGCGGTTTCTAAAGATTTTTCACATAATCAAATAAGAATGAATCAGGAGGCGTAAGATCTGACGATCGGGAAGGTCATAACCCGCGGCTAATAACCCTTCCGGGAAAAGCGCGCTGGAGATACTGTAACGTAGTATGGGGAGGAGCTCCATCCTGCTGGAAGTAACAGTTCAAATTCATTTAGTTGTTTTATGAAGTTGTCCAAAATCAGTAGCCTATATCGGCCAGCATTTATTGTTTGGTTGAAAAAAATGGGGCCGATTATTCCTGCTATTGATATAGCCACCCAAACATCTGTTTTTATTGGATGTAAGCTGGTTTCTTGAAAGACATTAGGGTTTTGAGTTAACCAAGTTCTATAGGTCTGCGATCGTATCCAAATAGGTGAAAGTAAGCCTCGTCAGTGAAAAAGGTCCTATATAAAATCTCGTTTCTACTCATGTTTTGTAGAAACCATTGGCAATACCGCACATGCGCATCAAAGTGTTGTGGAAGCAGTTGTTGCAATGTAGTGATCTTGTATAGATGCATATGTAATTTTTTCTTTATTATGGTAAGACAACTTCTATAATATATGCCAGTCTGTGTTGTGAAAGACGTGTAATGGATTTATTGGGACTACGTTGCATCCGCTCATTATCATCTTGAATCGATTCTTCTGTTACAACTGTAACAGATCTATCTGTTGATTTCCGTTTTACAACACTTCCGCTATCGAGAACGCGTTCAACAACTCGTTCACAATGGTGTACAAAAAGATAGAAAGGAATTTCTTCATCAGGATACATGCCCATGAACTGAGCATAAGTGGATTCTGAAGAATAATTCCACGCCCCACATTCGTCTTGAGTACCACTCCGGAAATATGCCATCACTAGAAAAGTGTTCTGCTCTACAGACAGAGGCATATTAGAAAACGCAATCAAACAAATCTAAAATTCTCAACTTCAAATCTGACAACTCATATTAAAAAAAAAAAAAAAATATATCGAAAAAAACCGCCACTGAGTTTTGAAATTTGCAACTTGAAACTTCAAATCTAGCAGCTAATATTTTTATGCACCTTAATAAACCAAATTATTCAAGTTCAGGTTTACCAACTCTCTCAGTCAATTTTGATGACTCTGTATATTTGCATAGGTGGGTCTAGCCTCCATTTTTTAACGATTAGATAAACGATTTTGCAAAGTGAGTGAAACATGGGATGTTTCCGTAGCTCAATTTTCTTGTTCACTTTGTTTGTACCGTTTGTTGCAACTGTATTTACAGTTACAGTTTTCGATTTGAATACAAAATTTTTCGAAATTACTCAATCACTTTTAGAAACCTTTAATGGAGTGAAAGGGTTTCATCACTCGGTTGATTTAACAAGAAGACGTCTGCTTTCGAGTTTAAACAAAATCACTCATCAAATTGCTGAAATTAACATGAGAATCAATACCACCGGTAAGTATACTGTTTTATACAAGATCGTGTGTCAAATTGGGTTTGATCACTGCAACAACAATTTGATAGGCGACGAGTAGTCATCAATCATTACACCGAGGTGGCACAATACCCAAAATTTCAAAGCCAATTTGATGTACATACAATATTTTATAATCAACTTTTATTTCGACAGTTTTTCGAATAGTATGTATTTTAGGTAGATACGAAAGTATGACAAACAGAATGTTACGAAATATGCCTAATGTTGTTAGGTTCGAATTGATGTTGCACTATATAAACACATTACAAATTTATATAAATATTTATTACCATGAGATGGAAAACTATGTTAAAAATTTTGATGACTATGAAAATGCAACGCTGTTAAACTTTGCCAATCGAGTCTTGTCTGAAACGTCTAATTCTGTTCCTTACATGATGGAATCTATGTATCAGCAAGTAGTAAAACAAGATATTTTACAACTATTTTTAAAACGTCTTGATGTAAGGGATTCGATTCACCAACGAATTTATTCATAAAATAGATTATTTTAGATAACCGTAAGTGACTATTTTTGTGAAGAGAAACAATCAGCGGCGCAGATCTTGCACGATTTTATGAATGAAATTCTTGTGACGAATATGAAGAGTTGCATTGTGATACAAACAGCTTACATGATCAAGAAATTGTACAAGAACGGTAAACACTAACATGGTAGACAGTATTTAAGGGGGTCCACTCATTTCTGGAATCGGAAGTTTTTAGAGTCAGAGTTAAAGTCGTAGCTAAAACTTAGTGACAAAGAGGATTCGTAAATGACGTTTTCTTCGTTACTCAGTTTTGTCTGCGACTGTAATAATACCAAGATGTTTTTCAGGTTTTCCTCATGTCAATTTTGGAAAGTTTCGACGTTTCGACCACGACATGCAAGCTGAATCTAAAAAGAGATTGCGAAGAATCTTTAGAGAGTGACAATATAAGACAAAACTGATTACACTAGTTTACAAGGTTTTATATCCAAAGATAAAAATTGTTAAATCTAAAGGATTTGGGTTCGAGAAATTCAGATCTGAAAGCAGAAAACTTCCATCACGTCAGGTTTTTGAGATATTTATATAAACATACCCCGTATTTCTTTTCTTTTGTACAACTCTTGTAACTTTTTTATTTTTAAATATACAGGGTGTTATTGAAAGGTACGTACAACAAAATTGACAGTTCTTCGCGAAGTCTAAGAAGCCTGAAAAACTGAATTTGTGTTATCAACATTATAAGCGGAAGATTAACCCCTATCCAACCTTTTTAGACGCTACTGAAGGATAAATAGATAAAATTTATTTATTTTAATAAATCCTAGCAACTGTAACAATAATAAAAAAAATAAGAGACCCTTTTGTTGCTGTAGAAACGAAAGATGACCTTTTTATCAGAGGCGTACAACAAATTTGGACATAAATTTTAATAATTTTTATCTCTAAAAGGAGAACACTTTTACCTGAACTTTTTTTTTAATTTTAGCACCCATACTTTGAGACCAATTGCCGATTTTATTTTGTACGTGTCTTTCAATAACACGCTGTATATAAACATATAGTTCTTTGAGCAAATTTGTAGCATTTTAAAAGAACATCTACGTAAATAAATAACATGAGTGTCAATTTTTCAACCTACTAGATTGTCATCAATGTTTTATTTAAAATTTTTCAAGTATTGATTTTAGAATAATTGGTTGCTTTCGATTTTTCTACGGGAAGTGATAATAAAAATGTGACGTTGGCTTTACAAAGATTTTTTAAAATGATACAAATTTGTTTAAAGAAATACAGGTTTATCTTTAAGAATAAAGAAGTTACAGGGGTTGTATCAAATTAAAGCAACACCCAGTATATATTATAAACATTATGACTGAAAGTTAAAAATGATTAACACTAGCATTTCTTTTATTGACAGTACTGTCAGTTTCCCTTATAACAGACCAACAGTAACACAATTTCGTCCCAAAAACCTTTGCACAATCTCGAAGACATTTTTCATGCGACAATGGTGCATTAACATGAATCAGTTTAACACTAACGTCAAGGTAAAAGCAAAGTTCATTATTTTGGATTTATGAAAAAACCTGACGTGATAAGGATTATCCGTTTTTGGATTTGTTATCAGTAAGTAATATAGAAGTAAAAAATATTTTTTTTATTTTTGGAAATGAAAAAAAGTTTAAATTTGTAAACTAGTGTTATTAGTCGAACAAAGGTGACAATCAGTTGTGGTTCACAAACGCATTAACAATTTTAACACATAGTGTACTCCAATGAAAGTGGGCGAAACGAAGAAATTTTTTTCCAACATGACACGGTCCAAAACCGGAAAATTATTTTCCCATCTCCTTTTTTTTAATGTTTCATTAACGTTTCACTAATTAGTGAAACGTTAATGAAATTTGATATTGATAATGAATTGTAATGGTTTTAATTAAAACCATTACAATTGATTATCAATATCAATCAATATTTAATTAAAACCATTACAATTGATTATCAATTATATATAAACAAACTCTAGTACACCGAAATATTCTCGAGTAATGATTATTATAATTTAATGAGACTTTTGTATTAAATCTTCAAACTGGCAACCTTAGCTTATCAAAGCACTCTAGGCACACACTTTTCACTTTTGGGGGGTGAAACTCAAATAAACACTAAGTATAGCAATTTAAAGACTAAATTAACTACTACTTTAATGAAGGTAACTATAAAAAAGAAAGCGAAGACGCCAACCACGCATTTTGGGCACGAAATAAGAATATAGTATCAATCATGAAGACTTATATGGTAAATGCACCTTTAGAACTGTGGAGATGTGATCCTGAAGAACACAAAAAAGGTATAAACAAAATAGATGATCAATTGTTTAATACCGAGTTAATACATTTACAACTTGATAAATATTGTCACCAAAGATATCGCACTGTGAGAGCAATAGTCACGTAACTCAAAAACAGCATATTTTGAGTAATGATGATTTAACATTCCCAAATTTTTATATATTATTTGTATTTTAAATACGAAATACTTAGGAATGCATTATAGTCGTACTGTCAACCGATTATTAATAGTATTTTTTTGCCTTTAGAGTAGAACCTTCTATTCGTTATAGAAAACAAGAAATTTTGACTTATTGTGACTATTGCACTGGTACACATTATCAAATATTTTGACTTGCGTGTTAATAAATTTAATACAAGAGCAAACTAGCAACACATTTTAATGAAAAAAAAAAAAAATAACAAAATACAAAACAATCACAATATTAATTCATTCAACATGTATTATGGCTAAATTCTTATAAAATGTGTGATAATCTGGTGTAGGGGAACGAGGGGCTTGTTGTAACAGTTTTTAGGAAAACGAATATAATTTGGTATCTATTAGCTGTTTGACCATTATAAAAGTATCGATCGGTAGTCTAACTATTCCCCTATTGGACTGAACAGGCAAAAGGTCAAAATTGTTCATCTTCACTTCACACCAGGCATTTTCTTAAAAAAAGTGCAGTGTTACAACTTGCCCCGTGGTTGGGGCTAGTTGTAACAGCCATCAGACAGGTAGTAACAGTAAAAATAAAGCTGATGTTGATACATATTTAGACTTTATTTTTCAAAAATCAACACAACACTTCATTATATACATTTTTTTTTCAGTAAAACTGAACTAAACTTTTAGAAGAAGAGTCAACATTAAAGATTTGAGTTTTGTCTTCCTTTTTCTTAATATATCTGGAAAGCAATATATGGCATAGGTCAAAATTTTGGCTCGCTTTTCGTATGCTAGGTAAGAGATTTGTAGAAGTGAATTTGGGATAAGTTGTAACATGTTACAACTTGCCCCAAGCGTATTGTTACAACATGCCCCGTAGTACAATTTTCTACATTTAATTACATTTCGACAAAATTATGTGGCTTAGCGTCAAAATGTGTAAGGAATATTAAATCTGAGTAATTTTTGAGCTACATGCAAAACTAAACGTTTTAAATTAATTAATAACTGATACGAAAAACCAAATTTTACTAAAGCAATATTTTACATTACTTGGCCAAAACGAGACACGTGCACACATCCACTCACTCCGTTGGCTGAAGGAACAGTGGTTGTGATGACATGATGTCTTATGGTGCAAGAATTAAATTCAGTAAAAAACCTGACGTTAAAGAGTTTAAATTCTGGGTAAAAATTTAGTGTTACAACTTACCCCTGTTACAACAAGCCCCTGGTTCCCCTACTTAATTTTTTTTTACATAATAATTTTAAAAATTTTATTTCGCTCCAATTAACTTTTCCATCTTTACCATTCAAAGAAAAATTTATTCCCATGTTTTCAGTCAATTCTTTTATATTAAAAATATCCTTCTGCTCTACTTCATGAACTTTGGCTTTCCAGTTTTTCTTGCTAACGCTATTACTGGTATCCATAACTTACCAACTTCACTTTGGGATTGTTGTTCGCCTCTTGAACCTCTGGAGTGTATCATTGGGAGACTGAATGGTTATGGTTACGACATGTTTCGACTTTATTAATTAACGTCATCATCAGCTAATATTTAACAAGCTAGTAACATGGATATTAAAATTTATGAGAATACACTGATAAAATTAATAATTAAAATGTCCGAGATTTATACAAAATCTGAGGACGTTAATTAATAAAGTCGAAACATGTAACCATAACCATTCAGTCTCCTCATGATACACTCCAGACGTTCAAGAGGCGGACAACAACCCCAAATTAAATAAAAACTTGAACAGAATGGATCTCCAAAAATTTACTAACTTCACATTTGATTTAACTATATTAGAAGACATTGTGTATTTTTTGTGTTCAATTTGTACCTAAATTAGTATCAGATTATCAACATCGACTGAAACATGCAGTCTTGCATTAAGTGCACATGTAACTTTCGGAAATGCAATACCAACATTTTGATTAATTTGAACAGCACGCAGCTATTAAAAGCCGTTTATACTTACATATACTAAAACTACATTAATTTCTTTATAAATTAATGAGAAATTTAAGAATTCGGCAAATTTTGACTTACGTGAGTATTGCTCTCACAGTGCGATATGTTCTTTGGCGCTAGGATAAAGGATATACTGTTAATAACAAAATTAATTTTAGATGAAACTTATCTTGAAATCACAAACTTCCTCCACGGAATTATTTTAAATAAAGTAAATTTAGATCCAAACGGAGGATGTAGTAGGGAATGCGACGTGTTTACTTATACAACAAATTATCAGTGTCATGATAATAAGTGGTGTAATCAACAAACAACTTGTCCAAAAATCATCAACTGTCACTACATCGATTCCTCGATGGAAGTTTGTACTTCCGAAGTAAGTCTATTTCCCTAATACTATTGCCAATAATTATAAGTCCCTAGAGCATGATTAGAACCAACAGAAGATACGATAATGTCAAATTTGGAAACGGAAAACATTTTGGAAAAAGCATGACTTGCAGCAAATCGAGAACTTACTTGGAAACTTACCGAAGCTGGTTGATCTTTAAATGCTCCTACTGTTACTGTCTCTGTGAAGAAGGGCCAAAATTCTTTTCCGAGAGATACATTAATATGCGTTTGGTTAAGTCAAATATTACTGATAACAAGTATGAAATCGACTCATACTGATTTGAATTTATAAATGTAGCAAGTTTGTAGAGTTGTGACCGGTTTGCGCTTTGTCAAAACCCACGGAATCATTCATCTGCAAATACAAGAGGGGAGAATTCTCCCACATGGACAGATTAACATTGACAGCGTTCGGTGGATACCAGTTGAAGATTATAATGTCATTAATAAAACCTATGAGGATGATAAGGACTATTATACTCTTAAATGGGAACAAAGAGAATTCGATTTGGTTGACATATTTGCTAAAGAGGGAAGCGTTGTCACTGGAGTTGCGTTTGAAAAATTTAATGGTCGACTGCACTTGAATGTATTAACAAATCCATACAATTTCAAAACCGGGAGCCTGGGGCTAAATACCACTTTACAACGTGGTCGTGTTCTTTATGATAAGCTCAAGTACTTCTAGAATCTAATCTAAAATTACAATATTGCCAATACGTTCTTTACAGATTTTCCAAAGAATTGAAGCTTGACAGGGTCGATGTTCCGATTCGTTCAGAAGCTCACTCGAATAAATTTACCACGAACAAATATGTGAAATTTACAAACACAGGATACGAGAAAGATGCTGGTCAAACGACGGTACCATTTTTTGATGCTCAACCCGTAGAATCAGCTATACCGGTTCCGTTAAGTGGGGTTGGGGTTTTTCACAAGGGAATATCCGGTTTTGGAGGATTTATTGCACCCAGAATATTCACTTATAATTTTACGAAACATCTGGAAGGGGTGATCAACCAGATGAGCAAAAACGATAAACTGTGAAATATTTACACCGTTTGGAAGATAAAGTAGACCAATGTGTAACATTAAAAAAATATATATCACAACTGATGGGTACTTGCTTTTCCTATGGTATCTTGAGCTGTGAAGTGTCAAACATTGAAATTGCTATTATTTAAAACTTGTTCTGAAAGGTAAAGATTTTTATGTTTGCCGATTTGAGTTTTATTGGACTAACAAAAGATTTTTATGTTTGCCGATTTGAGTTTTATTGGACTAACAAAAGATTTTGCTATTCACACAATGTAGAGAAAATATTTTCCACAGATATCTGGAAAAACCTCCCAAGTTAACAACTGCACAACCCATAACTTCTAAAGGCTTTCCGCATTGTTGTACGTGAATATCATGTAATAACTCCAAGTTATTATCTCCCTTGTGTATTATTTCCACAAAGTCGTTGGATCCACTATTTTCTAAAATAAGCGTCGCTCTGTTTAGCTTGAGTACCATAGTCTATCTACTTCATTATTATTTCTTTTCATAAATTTTACAATAATTCATCATTAGACATGATATTTTTTTTGGCATTTTACTTGTTATTATCATTGCCACCAGAATTTTAGTCTTCATGATTGCTACGAATTATAAAAGTACTTAGTAATAAGGAAATTTTTCAGACCGTTTAGGCTAATTAGACAGCTCAATTTTTTTCTACATGTACTTCAAAAACACTGTGTATATTACACCAAAATTGAAAACAAAAGGAGGAAACACGACAAGTTAAAATTAAAATTGCTTAAATTTATTTTAAACTAAAGAAATTACTGCAATAGATTTTTGATTCGTCAGTTTTCCTTCAATTTTTCCAAGTCTCTTTCGGTGACGTTTCTTCTTAAATATATATTTGTATAGGTGGGTCTAATCTCCATTATTTACACAGTTTTTAGCGATTAGATTAACCATTATGCAACTACTACAAAGTGAGTGAAAATGTGTTGACTACTTAGCTCAATTTTCTTGTTCACTTTGATTGATTGGCTCCGTTATTTTTATAAACAGTGTAAGGAATCGATGTATACGGTATACATTACACCAGTCGATATGATTGTAGCCTTAACGATGTGTTTTTATAAGTGAAAAAGTCCCTTGCGCAAACACACTATTGCCTTTTATTTTATTTAAATTTAGATATAGTGGATCTTATCGTATGTTTACACAATTTTAACCGTTATGTAATTGCGACAAAGTAAGTGAAAATGCGGTGTCTTTTTACTTCTATTTTCTTGCTTATTATGTTTGAACCATTCGTGGAACCTACAGTTACAGTTTCAGTTTTCGATTTGAATACAAAAATTTTGGAAATTACTAGGGCACTTATACAAACTTTTAATGGAGTACGAGGGTCTGATCACCCGCTTGATATTTTAAGAGAACGTCTGTTTTCAAATTTAACCAATATCATTCCGCAAATTGAAGAAATAAACATGAGAAATGACACTGGTAAGTAGTATGCTTATAAGAAACGTGCACCAAGTTGGTCTTGATCACTGTACTTTTAATAGCAATTTGCCGTTTCACCGTGATAGGCATCAAAACTAATAATAATAATAATCGGAATTGAACTATTATGCAGCAAACACATTAAAACGTTTTAAAAAGTTAGGTTATGATTGCCATTTATCATAAGTGGCGAGTAGTCATTAATACCACAACGAAGCGGCAAATTCCCAAAATTTCAAAGCCAACTTGATGTACGATATTTTATACTCATTTTTTATTTTGACAGTTTTTTCAATAATATGTATTTTAGGTAAACATGAAAGTATGGCTAACAGAATATCCGAAAATATGCCTACTGCTGACACTTTAAAATTGACTTTGTACTATATAAACCAGCAACAAATTTATATAAACATGTATTACTGTGAGATGGAGAAATATGTTAAAAATTTTGAGGACTATGAATTTGCAACGTTGTTAAATGTTGCCAATCGAGTCTTGTCTGATACGTCTAATTCTGTCCCTTCCATGATAGAAGCTATATATCAGCAAGTAGTAACACAAGATATTTTAAAAAAACTTTTAAAACGTCTTGACGTAAGTGATTCGTTTCACCAACGAATTTATTCATAAAATAGATTATTTTAGAGGACAACAATACGTGGTTATTTTTGTGAAGAAAAACAATCAGTTGGGCAGATCTTACACAATTTTATGAATGAAATTCTTGTGATGAATGTGAAGAGTTACATTCTGATACAAACAGCTTACATGTTGCAGAGATTATACAAGAACGGTAAGTGTATTATTCATTTCTGTAGCAGACAAAATTTAATAACAAAGTGGATTCGCAACAGTAGGCTACATTTGATTTGTTCAAATTTTGAAACTAGCTAATACATTTAAATGTCTAAATTGAATGTTAAAGTAACAGATTTGATATGCACTTCATTCACTCGACATATCGTCCATTAATTGTAAAATTTTAGTTTTATATCTACAATATACAATACATTACGTCCATTTTTATTTGAAAAGAAACCCAAAATATTGTTTTTGAAACATTTAAATAATAATTTTGGGTAATAAATAATAATTAATAATAAACACACTCTATCAAACTATTCACGTAATTAAAATCCAGGAGCAATGATTGTAATTTGTATTAAATTTTCAAACTAACAAACGTTAGTTTACCAATCTAGTGCATACACTTTACAGATGAAACTTAAAGAAACGCTAAAGAGAACAATTTAAAGACTAAATTAACTTCTACTTTATTGAAGGAAACTATCAAAAAGAAAGCGAAGACGCCAATCAAGAATTTTGGGCACGCAGTAAGAATATAGTATCAACCATGAGGACTTATATGGTAAATGCATCTTTAGAACTGTGGAGATGTGATCCTAAAGAACACGAGAAAGGTACAAACAAAATCGATCAAATGTTTAATACCGAGTTAATACATTTACAACTTGATAAATATTGTCATCAAAGATATGTTCTTTGGCGCTATGATAAACGATACACTGTTAATAACAAAATTAATTTTAGATGAAACTTATCTTGAAATCACAAACTTCCTCCACGGAATTATTTTAAACAAAGTAAATTTAGATCCAAACGGAGGATGTAGGGAGGAATGCGACGTTTTTACCTACACTACAAATTATCAGTGTCATAATAATAAGTGGTGTAAGCAACAAACACGGTGTCCAAAAATCATCAAGTGTCACTACATCGATTCCTCGATCGAAGTTTGTACTTCCGGAGTAAGTCTATTTCCCTAATACTATTGCCAATTATTAAAATAAGTCTCCAGAGCATGCTTAAAACCAACAGAAGATACGATTACATCAAATTTGGAAACGGAAGACATTTTGGAAAAAGCATGACTTGCAGCAAATCGAGAACAACTCACTTGGAAACTTACCGACGCTGGTTGTTCTATAAATGCTCCTACTGTTACTGTCTCTGTGAAGAAGGGCCAAAATTCTTTTCCGAGAGATACATTAATATGCGTATGGTCATGTCAAACATTACTGACAACAAGTACGTAATCGAGCCGTACTGATTTGAACTTATAAATGTAGCAAGTTTGCAGAGTTGTGACAGGTTTGCGCTTTGTTAAAATCCACCAAGTCATTCATCTACAAATACAAGAAGGAAGAATTCTCCCACATGGACAGATTAACATTGACAGCGTTCGGTGGATACCAGTTGAAGATTACAAAGTCACTAATAAAACCTATGAGGATGGTAAGGATTATTATACTCTTAAATGGGAACAAAGAGAATTCGATTTGGTTGACATATTTGCTAAAGAGGGAAGCGTTGTCACTGGAGTTGCGTTTGAAAAATTTAATAGTCGACTGCACTTGAATGTATTAACAAATCCATACAATTTCAAAACCGGGAGCCTGGGGCTAAATACCACTTTACAACGTGATCCTGTTCTTCGTTATAAGCACAAGTATTTCTAGAATCTAATCGAAAATTACAATATTGCCAATACGTTCTTTACAGATTTCCCAAAGAATTGAAGCTTGACAGGGTCGATGTTCCGATTCGTTCAGAAGCTCACTCGAATATATTTACCACGAACAAATATGTGAAATTTACAAACACAGGATACGATAAAGATGCTGGTCAAACGACGGTACCATTTTTTGATGCTCAACCTGTAGAATCAGCTATACCGGTTCCGTTAAGTGGAATCGGGGTTTTCCACAAGGGAATATCCGGTTTTGGAGGATTTATTGCACCCAGAATTTTCACTTATAATTTTGCAAAACATCTGGAAGGGGTGATCAACCAGATGAGCAAAAACGATAAACTGTGAAATATTTACACCGTTTGGAAGATAAAGTAGACCAATGTGTAGTATTAAAAAAAATATACAGGGTGTCCCAGAATTCGCGCCATTCCCGTGAATGACATGTTCCCTGTCCCGAACTGTGCCGTAATTCGCAAAAAGAATTGTCCAGGCTTTAACCGTGTGAGAACTGGAAGGCGATTAAGTTGACCAATAGAGAGGCTGCTTTTATATCCGAACGTTTCTATGTTCGAAGTTACCTATGCCAAGAACAAAAAATCGGGTAATACTAAAGTTGAATGAATTTTTTCCGAATCCCCCTCCGTCAACAAAAGGAAACAGAAGTGTGGTTATAAATTTAATCATTTTGACAATTGTTTGTCATAAACTGTCACGAAGTTTATCACTGACCTGAAGAGACGCTTCTGCGCCAAAGATGACTGATTAATGTACACAGAGACGTCAAGGTTTACTTTAAGGCAAGTAGCATGGGACAGAAGTTATTTCTGCTGCCATTCTAGTTAAATTGTGTTTAACTGGGCTGTACATGTCATAAGAGAAGCTGTTTCATTTCATCGTAGGCAAATAATACATTTATTACTATTCTACATAGAGTAGCTACCGAAGAGCAGGTATTAGAAGTCATTTTCTTAGAGCCCCGTGAATAATCGTCGGCACCCAGACCAACATGTGTTTCACCGATTGTTACATCGAGCAAGAGAAGATCTTTTCAACCTAGTCGGAAAGGCCGTGCTGGGGCTCCACGGAATGTACGTGTAGGTGCTGAAGAGCAAGTGTTAGGAAACATGGAAGCGGATCCTAGGAGAAGTGTCCTCTACGTAGCGCAAATTAGTGGATGTTCAAGATCGACCACTCATCGTATCCTTCAAGAGAGAAGACTGCATCCTTACCATTACACGAGAGTGCAGCATCTGCGACCAACCGACTACCCGCGACGAGTACATTTTGCTCAATGGTTACTGCGACAAAATGAACTAAATCCTGATTTTACACGGCGCATTCTTTTCACCGACGAATGTTCATTTTCCCGAGAAGGAATGTTTAATGCACACAATTGGCATTTCTGGGCACACGAAAATCCACATCTCACTAGGGTGAGAGCATATCAGGAGCGATTTACTATTAATCTATGGGCTGGAATCATTGGTACTACTGTGGTAAAAATTTTAATGCATCTGATAAAATTATCAGATTACCTGATCGCCTTAATGGGGATGCATATGCTAATTTTCTACGACTAGAGCTTCCGGCATTGTTGAAAGACGTTCCTTTGAATGTACGGCGGAATATGTGGTTTCAGCACGACGGCGCTCCTCCACATAATTCGATACTTGTACGACGAACATTGAAAAGAGTATCGTCATAGGTGGATTGGGCGTGGCAGTACTAATATCTGGCCTCCTAGATCTCTAGACCTTTCTGCTTTGGACTTTTTTTTGGAATCAAATTAAAAATTACGTATATAGAGAACCCCTAGATATGTTAGAAGAACTGGAAGAGAGACTGCACGAAGCCTACGCTACAGTTACTCCTGAGATGTTACATAATACACAACACAACATAATTCAACGAGCTAGAACTTGCATTGAAGTTAATGGTGGTCATTTTGAGCACATTGTTTAATAACGTTACAGTACAACGATTCCAGCCCATAGATTAATAGTATTGCTCTTGATATGCTCTCACGTTAGCGAAATGTGGATTTTCGTTTGCCCAGAAGTGAATTGTGCGCATTAAATATTCCTTTTCGGGAAAATCAACATTCGTCGGCGAAAAGAATGTGCCGTGAAAAATCAGGATTTAGTTCATTTTGTCGCAGTAACCATATAGCAACATGCACTCGTCGCGCAGTCGGCTCGTCGCAGATGCTGCACTTTCGTCAATAGTAAGGATGCAGATTTTTCTCTGTAAGGATACGATGCATGATCGATCTTGAGCATCCAATCATTTGTGCCACTTGTTCTTCACCGTCTATGCGTATAATCCGTGGAGCCCCAGCACGGCTTTCCGCATAGGCTGAAAAGATCCATCTTCTTTTGCTGGATGCAACAAACGACGAAACACATGCTGGTCAAGGAGCCGATGATTGGGGAAAAGACCTGTATATTCGCGCACAGCAGTGGCTGCATAGCGTGTACATTCTCCATAAATTGTTTGTATTGTTCTTAAAAAAAATTGCAACTATTGTTATAATTTTTATTCGTATCTTTTCAATCTCTAGAAAGTATGTACTCACAACTTTAAAGAAACTGTCTTAAATCATCATGTGCAACATCAATATTATTCTTGAATAAGTCTCAGTTTTCAGTATTTTCCCTACATGATTGACACCACAGCAGATACCTATGATCTTAATACACCAGAGAAGTGGAGTCTCGTCTATTTTTTCGTTGCTTAGATTAGGTATCAGCAACAAAGCTGTTCAGTAAAAATTGATACTGTTTATTGAAAATCATAATCACTGATTAATCAAAAGCGATATTTATGTTTAAATACACTTAATAACGTTCTTTGAATGGACATGTGGTACTCTTTTTTAGAAATAACGATAAACTTAATATCAGGCATATGATGCATTCTGAAAATGTACTAATTTTCGTTAAAAAGAACAACACATTATTCACGGGGCTCTAAGAAAATCACTTCTAATACCTGCTCTTCGGTAGCTACTCTATGTAGAATAGTAATAAATGTATTATTTGCCTACGATGAAATGAAACAGCTTCTCTTATGACATGTACAGCCCAGTTAAACACAATTTAACTAGAATGGCAGCAGAAATAACTTCTGTGCTACTTGCCTTAAAGTAAACCTTGACGTCTCTGTGTACATTAATCAGTCATCTTTGGGGGCAGAAGCGTCTGTTCAGGTCAGTGATGAACTTCGTGACAGTTTATGACAAACAATTGTCAAAATGATTAAATTTATAACCACACTTCTGTTTCCTTTTGTTGACGGAGGGGGATTCGAAAAAAATTCATTCAACTTTAGTATTACCCGATTTTTTGTTCTTGGCATAGGTAACTTTGAACATAGAAACGTTCGATATAAAAGCAGCCTCTCTATTGGTCAACTTAATCGCCTTCCAGTTCTCACACGGTTAAAGCCTGGACAATTCTTTTTGCGAATTACGGCACAGTTCGGGACAGGGAACATGTCATTTACGGGAATGGCGCGAATTCTGGGACACCCTGTATACCACAACTGATGGGTACTTGCTTTTGCTATGGTATCTTGAGCTGTGAAGTGTCAAACATTGAAATTGCTATTATTCAAAACTTGTTCTGAAAGATAAAGATTTTTATGTTTGCCGATTTGAGTTTTATTGGACTAACAAAAGATTTTGCTGTTCACACAATGCAGAGAAAATATTTTCCACAGATATCTGGAAAAACCTGCCAAATTAACAACTGCACAACCCATAACTTCTAAAGGCTTTCCGCATTGTTGTACGTGAATATCATGTAATAACTCCAAGTTATTATCTCCCTTGTGTATTGTTTCCACAAAGTCGTTGGATCCACTATTTTCTAAAATAAGCGTCGCTCTGTTTAGCTTGAGTACCACAGTCTATCTACTTCATTATTACTTCTTTTCATAAATTTTACAATAATTCATCATTAGACATGATATTTTTTTGGCATTTTACTTGTTATTATCATTGCCACCGGAATTTTAGGCTTCATGATTGCTACGAATTATAAAAGTACTTGGTAATAAGGAAATTTTTCAGACCGTTTAGGCTAATTAGACAGCTCAATTTTTTTATACATGTACTTCAAAAACACTGTGTATATTACACCTAAAATTGAAAACAAAAGGAGGAAACACAAGTTAAAATTAAAATCGCTTAAATTTATTTTAACTAAACAAATTACTGAAATAAATTTTTGATTCGCCAGTTTTCCTTCAATTTTTCCACGTCTCTTTCGGTGACGTTTCTTCTTAAATATATATTTGTATAGGTGGGTCTAATCTCCATTATTTACACAGTTTTTAGCGATTAGATTAACCATTATGCAACTACTACAAAGTGAGTGAAAATGCGTTGACTACTTAGCTCAATTTTCTTGTTCACTTTGTTTGTACCGTTTGTGGTACCTGTATTGATTGGTTCCGTTATTTTTATAAACAGTGTAAGGAATCGATGTATATGGTATACATTACACCAGTCGATATGATTATAACCTTAACGATGTGTTTTTATAAGCGAAAAAGTCCCTTGCGAAAACACACTATTGCCTTTTATTTTATTTAAATTTAGATATAGTGGATCTTATCGTATGTTTACACAATTTCAACCGTTATGTAATTGCGACAAAGTAAGTGAAAATGCGGGGTCTCTTTACTTCTATTTTCTTGCTTATTATGTTTGAACCATTCGTGGAACCTACAGTTACAGTTTCAGTTTTCGATTTGAATACAAAAATTTTGGAAATTACTAGGGCACTTATACAAACTTTTAATGGAGTACGACGGTCTGATCACCCGCTTGATTTTTTAAAAGAACGTCTGTTTTCGAATTTAACCAATATCATTCCGCAAATTGAAGAAATAAACATGAGAAATGACACTAGTAAGTAATATGCTTATAAAAAACCGTGCATCAAGTTGGTCTTGATCACTATACTTTTAATAGCAATTTGCCGTTTCACCGTGATAGGCATCAAAACTAATAATAATAATCATCGGAATTGAACTGTTATGCAGCAAACACATTAAAACGTTTTAAAAAGTTAGTTAGTAGTCATTAATACCACAACGAAGCGGCAAATTCCCAAAATTTCAAAGCCAACTTGATGTACGATATTTTATACTCACTTTTTATTTTGACAGTTTTTTCAATAATATGTATTTTAGGTAAACATGAAAGTATGGCCAACAGAATATCCGAAAATATACCTACTGCTGACACGTTAAAGTTGACTTTGTACTATATAATCCAGCAACAAATTCATATAAACATGTATTACCGTGAGATGGAGAAATATGTTAAAAATTTTCACGACTATGAATTTGCAACGTTGTTAAATTTTGCCAATCGAGTCTTGTCTGATACGTCTAATTCTGTCCCTTACACGATGGAATCTATATATCAGCAAGTAGTAACACAAGATATTTTAAAACGTCTTGTTGTAAGTGATTCGATTCACCAACGAATTTATTCATAAAATAGATTATTTTAGAGGACAATAATACGTGGTTATTTTTGTGAAGAAAAACAATCAGTTGGGCAGATCTTACACAATTTTATGAATGAAATTCTTGTGATAAATGTGAAGAGTTACATTCTGATACAAACAGCTTACATGTTGCAGAGATTGTACAAAAACGGTAAGTGTATTATTCATTTCTGTAGTAGACAAAATTTAATAACAAAGTGGATTCGCAACAGTAGGCTACATTTGATTTGTTCAAATTTTGAAACTAGCCAATACATTTAAATGTCTAAATTGAATGATAAAGTAACAGATTTGATATGCACTTCATTCACTCGACATATCGTCCATTAATTGTAAAATTTTAGTTGGATACAATACATTACGTCCATTTTTATTTAAAATAAACCCAAAATATTGCTTTTGAAACATTTAAATAATAATTATGGGTAATAACTAATAATTAATAATTAATGATTCAATAATTGTCAAAATTCAAAAAGCTGTTTTGTTAGGAACATGTCATATTGTTCGTAAGTTTCTTGAACAGTCTGATCATGTCAGTCAGATTAGATTAGCACCAGTAGGTCAGAGTAGTGTAGGTCACTTTTCATGTGATGCGCGGATAAATGGTCGGTAGTTACGCTGGACTTTTGGGGATGGGGTGAGATTAGAGAATAATAGCAGACTAATTTGTATGCTGTAATTCTAGAATCTCGAAAGTTGTTCTGTTAATCTAATCAATGCATATCATTACTTGGTCTTAGTACCCGTAATGATAGAAGTCTTGCCTGAATGCCGGTCATTTCCGGGTCAGTGGTGGGTCTTAAAAAAAAAAAAAAAAAAAAAAAAAAAGACCTTTGGTTGTTCATAAATTTCTTAACAAGGCGGAATCTTTGGATAAAACTCAATTCAATAGCTTTATTTGACTCAAAAGGACTCATAATAGTGCAAGGTACTGTATTCACTATTACAACAAAGTATTTAACTCGATATTTGCATTTAATTTCCTTTTTTCATAACCAACTGTCAACGCTGACATTTCCAACTAAAAAATGAGTCTAAACCAAATTGTTTCGCCTACAACGGAGAATGTTCAACTCGAAATCCGACGAACACCTATTACTGCAGTCTCCGAAGAGGTAGATGGAGCAAGTGGCATCACCTCGGGAAATACTACCACAAGGACAATTAACAACGTATTGGTCTCTAATGTTTCTCAGACAAATCAGCCTCAGACCATTAGAAGACGAGAAGAACCAAAAAAGCGTAAAAAGTGGTCTCTAGACATGAATTTACATATTATGCGCTTATATTATAAAATTACAAACAATGAAACTGATGTAAGTGATTATCGTACAGCTCTACACGAAGCCTTCAGCCGTGAGTACCCAAATTTTCCAGTTACCATTCAAAATTTAGCAGATCAACGTAGAGCTATTGTTAAAAATAACTACATACCTCAACTTACTCTAGAACAATTAAAAAATGAAGTTTCCAAAACCATTAATCCACTTCCTGAAGATATCAACAAGACACCACCAAATACATTACTAACTGACACATCTGTCACCAATTTGTCAAAAACAACATCTCAAAATAAGATACCAATTATACCACAAAATAGTAACAGTAGTCTATCAAATACACCAGAGACACCGACTGACACATTTACTAAAGATTTATTAAACAAAACACCTCAAAATAAGATCACAACCATAACACAAATTACAAACACAATATCAAACAGATCCCAAACATTAACTGACAAATCATTTAACAATTTATCAAGAACAATCCAAAACGAAATTAACATCACAGATAATCTACAAAACACATACTACAACAACGAAGACACATTAATCAAAACTGTAAACAACAATTTTAAATTTCACATTAATTTCCAAAATGAAATTGAAGACAAATTTAAATTAACTTTCGAAACATGTTCCAAATTAAAACCAAATGATAGACATTCACTTCCCCGCCAGTATTATTCTAAAAAGTTTCTAGCAATTGTAGAAATAATGAACTCCTTCATTTTACCAAAATATCTCACAAACTCGATCTCTTTTGAAAAACTTCATACAATTATCTACTGTGCAGCTTTAACTTGTATTCAAATTAACACATGTAAAGATAACATAATAAATACAAACACCAATCGTATACCTTCGACCCCTCATTGGGAAACACGGTTAAATTATAAAATTAATAACATTAGAAAACAACTAGGTCAAATAACACAGTACCTTAGAGGAGTTAAAACACCACATATCATGACATGTATGCATTCGATACTGACCAACAATAATTTTCATCAAACTGATTACAATGAGTACAACACAACATTATCCCAAATTAAAGATACCCTATTACAAAAACTTTCCTTATATAGCAAACGACTTAAAAGATACAAACAATCACATCTCAGAAAAATTCATAACACTAAATTTTTAAACAACGAAAAACTATTCTATCAACATTTAACTAATTCAAACAAAACTCAATTATCCGGTGAACTTCCAAGTTCACAGGATGTAACAACATTTTGGTCAAAACTTTGGTCTGAAGAATTTGAATTTAACCAATCTGCCAAATGGATTCCTCATATATCCCATAAACTATCCACAGTTACACCAATGAATGATCATCAGATAACACTTGCCGAATTAATAAATACCATCAATAAGACACACAACTGGAAATCACCAGGACCAGACAAAATCCATAATTTTTGGATAAAAAAATTTAATTGTGTACATATTCATTTACTAAATCACTTAAATCAGTTCCTTCTTGACCCATCCTCCTTTCCAACATTCTTATGTCATGGTGTAACATACTTAAAACCTAAAGATAACGACACAAAAAATCCATCAAAATACAGACCTATCACATGTTTATCAACAATCTATAAAATATTAACCTCATGCATTACACAAAAAATCTATCAACACTGTTTTAACTCTAACATCATTAATGAAGAACAGAAAGGATGTATTAAAGGATCCTTTGGTTGCAAAGAGCAATTAATCATAGATTCCATCATCTGTGAACAAGCTAGAAAAGAAAACCGAAACATATATACTGCTTTTATTGATTATAAGAAAGCTTACGATTCTGTCCCTCATTCCTGGCTATGCAAAATTCTGGAATTATACAAAATTGATACTAAAATCTGCACTTTTCTAAAATGTTCCATGGAATTTTGGAAGACCACCCTTCAAATAACCTTAAATGAACAAACAATTCAGTCAGATCCAATAATGATCCGAAGAGGAATTTTTCAAGGCGATTCTCTTAGTCCGTTATGGTTCTGCTTAGCAATAAATCCCCTCTCCGATATCCTGAACAGTTGCAATTATGGGTTCAATATAAGAATTAACAAACAAAGAGAAAACAGAATAAGTCACTTGCTGTATATGGATGACATAAAAATATATGCAAGTACACAAAATCAGTTAACAAACCTATTAAATCTGACTGAACAATTTTCCGGTGATATTGGTATGTCTTTTGGTATTGAGAAATGTAAGACCCAAGCAATCAGAAAAGGCGTCCAACACCAAGTACCACATATAACCCAGAATAACGAAATAATCGAAGCACAAGAACGAAACGATACATACAAATATCTGGGTTTCTGTCAATCATCACACATCAATCATACCAAAACGAAAACACAGTTGAAAGATCAATACCTAGCGAGATTGAAATTAATATTGAAGACACAGTTAAATGGAAAAAATTTAATGAAAGCAGTAAATACATTCTGCGTTCCACTACTAACATATTCTTTTGGAGTCATTAAATGGTCCAAAACTGATCTTGAAAATTTAAACATCGCAACAAGGAAAATCTTCACACAGTATAGAAGGCATCATCCAAAATCGTCGATTGAAAGATTCTCATTACCAAGACAGAATGGAGGAAGGGGTTTCCAGAACCTAGAAAACTTATGTCAGAGACAAATCTCAGATTTGAAGAAGTATTTCTTGAAACGAGCGGAAAGAAATGAAATGTTTCGCACCATCACAAGAGCAGATTTGAACCACACACCCTTAAATCTGTCGAACACCGAAGAAATCCACACCCCCCACACAATAGATAAAATAATAAGTGGGCTAAAACAAAAACAACTACATGGAAAATTCTACAAAGACTTAGAAGAAACTCATATCAATAAGAAGATGTCATTGATTTGGTTAAAAAAATCAGGTTTGTATGCCGAAACAGAACGATTTGTGTTTGCTATTCAAGACCAAGTAATCAATACCAAGAATTACAAAAAATACATCATCAAAGATCCGAACATAAAAAACGACTGCTGTCGCCTCTGCAAAGCAAAACCTGAAACGATCCAGCACATAATCTCTTCTTGCAGCATCCTAGCACAAACTGACTACAAAGCTAGACACGACAACGTCGCCAAAATCATCCACAAAGAATTAGCAACACTTATGAACTTAATCGAAGATACGACACCGTATTACACTTACATTCCATCTCCGTTCCTTGAAAATAACAAATACAAATTATACTGGGATCGCACAATACTTACAGACTTAAACATTACAGCTAACAGACCAGACATCATACTTATCAAGAAACACACGAACGAAGCCATTCTCATTGACATTGCTGTTCCCAACACAAACAACATTATTCAAACATACCACACCAAGATTTCAAAATATCTACAGTTATCGATAGAAATGAAATCCATGTTGAATCTTAAAAAAATTTCAATTGTACCTCTAGTTATCTCTAATGTAGGTGTAGTTCCAAATAGCTTAGTTGAGAATTTAAAGTCTTTGCATTTGAATGATTCAATAATTATCAAAATTCAAAAAGCTGTTTTGTTAGGAACATGTCATATTGTTCGTAAGTTTCTTGAACAGTCTGATCATGTTAGTCAGATTAGGTTAGCACCAGTAGGTCAGAGTAGTGTAGGTCAATTTTCAAGTGATGCGCGGATAAATGGTCGGTAGTTACGCTAGACTTTTGGGGATGGGGTGAGATTAGAGAATAATAGCAGACTAATTTGTATGCTGTAATTCTAGAATCTCGAAAGTTGTTCTGTTAATCTAATCAATGCATATCATTACTTGGTCTTAGTACCCGTAATGATAGAAGTCTTGCCTGAATGCCGGTCATTTCCGGGTCAGTGGTGGGTCTTAAAAATAATAATCTAAAAACACACTCTATCAAACTATTCACGTAATTAAAATCCAGGAGCAATGATTGTAATTTGTATTAAATTTTCAAACTAACAAACGTTGGTTTATCAATCTAGTGCATACACTTTATAGATGAAACTTAAAGAAACGCTAAAGAGAACAATTTAAAGACTAAATTAACTTCTACTTTATTGAAGGGAACTATCAAAAAGAAAGCGAAAACGCCAACCAAGAATTTTGGGCAGGCAGTAAGAATATAGTATCAATCATGAAGACTTATATGGCAAATGCATCTTTAGAACTGTGGAGATGTGATCCTAAAGAACACGAGAAAGGCACAAACAAAATCGATCAAATGTTTAATACCGAGTTAATACATTTACAACTTGATAAATATTGTCATCAAAGATATGTTCTTTGACGCTATGATAAACGATACACTGTTAATAACAAAATTAATTTTAGATGAAACTTATCTTGAAATCACAAACTTCCTCCACGGAATTATTTTAAACAAAGTAAATTTAGATCCAAACGGAGGATGTAGTGAGGAATGCGACGTTTTTACCTACACTACAAATTATCAGTGTCATAATAATAAGTGGTGTAAGCAACAAACACGGTGTCCAAAAATCACCAAGTGTCACTACATCGATTCCTCGATCGAAGTTTGTACTTCCGGAGTAAGTCTGTTTCCCTAATACTATTGCCAATAATTATAAGTCTCTAGAGCATGCTTAAAACCAACAGAAGATACGATTACGTCAAATTTGGAAACGGAAGATATTTTGGAAAAAGCATGACTTGCAGCAAATCGAGAACAACTTACTTGGAAATTTACCGAAACTGGTTGATCTTTAAATGCTCCTACTGTTACTGTCTCTGTGAAGAAGGGCCAAAATTCTTTTCCGAGAGATACATTAATATGCGTTTGGTTAAGTCAAATATTACTGATAACAAGTATGAAATCGACTCATACTGATTTGAATTTATAAATGTAGCAAGTTTGTAGAGTTGTGACCGGTTTGCGCTTTGTCAAAACCCACGGAATCATTCATCTGCAAATACAAGAGGGGAGAATTCTCCCACATGGACAGATTAACATTGACAGCGTTCGGTGGATACCAGTTGAAGATTATAATGTCACTAATAAAACCTATGAGGATGATAAGGATTATTATACTCTTAAATGGGAACAAAGAGAATTCGATTTGGTTGACATATTTGCTAAAGAGGGAAGCGTTGTCACTGGAGTTGCGTTTGAAAAATTTAATGGTCGACTGCACTTGAATGTATTAACAAATCCATACAATTTCAAAACCGGGAGCCTGGGGCTAAATACCACTTTACAACGTGATCCTGTTCTTCATTATAAGCACAAGTACTTCTAGAGTCTAATCTAAAATTACAATATTGCCAATACGTTCTTTACAGATTTCCCAAAGAATTGAAGCTTGACAGGGCCGATGTTCCGATTCGTTCAGAAGCTCACTCGAATAAATTTACTACGAACAAATATGTAAAATTTACAAACACAGGATACGAGCAAGATGCTGGTCAAACGACGGTACCATTTTTTGATGCTCAACCTGTCGAATCAGCTATACCGGTTCCGTTAAGTGGAATTGGGGTTTTCTACAAGGGAATATCCGGTTTTGGAGGATTTATTGCACCCAGAATTTTCACTTATAATTTTGCGAAACATCTGGAAATGGTGATCAACCAGAATAGTAAAAACGATAAATTGTGAAATATTTACACCGTTCCGTTCGGAAGATAAAGTAGACTAATATGTAGCAATGCTTTTAAATTAGATATTTACGATATGTGTATCGTAATGTGGAATTTTACGATACGCGATGGAAAAATTGTCCAACGAGCCGAAGGCGAGTTGGATAATCCATCAAGTATCGTAAAGAAACATTACGATACAAATATTGTACAACGTTTTATCTACTTTCAATAATTTTCATAATACACTCACCGGCAAAAAAATCGAATCATTAGTATTTTTGTAGAAATCTTCAATAAATTCTGGTGTGCGTCACATTTATCAGACAAATTAGTTTATCTACGACAAAGGAGATGAGAAGGTAACGGGACCTTCGCTGAAGTTGCAACAATTACGAGTTTATTAAAAAATACCAGAAAATCCATTACATTAAACCAACAAAAGATTGCTTAACATATCATTAATAACGACTGTTGCCGCCTCTAGCTTGCATTAGGGTTGCCATACGTCTTCCCATGCCTTCTATGAGGTGTCTAATCTCAGCCTGGGCTAATTGGTCAAATTCTTCAACTAGCGCATTTGCAAGATCTCTTATGTGTTGTATGGCCGGCACACGTGCTCTGATACGTCTACCTAACATGCTCAATTGGATTCAGGTCGGGACTGCGTGCTGGTCATTCCATACGTGAAATCCCGAATTCGTCGAGGTAGGTTTGTACAACTCTAGCGATATGTGGTCTAGCATTATCATGCATTAGAATAAAATTATCGCCAATAAAAGGAGCAAAAGGTACGACATGCTCTTGAAGAATATTTGCTACATATCGATCAGCATTCATTGTGCCTCTATCCACCACTACAAGTTCCGTGCGAACCTCGGCAGAAATTCCTGCCCAGACCATCACTGAACCTCCATGAAAACTTAGTCTGGAAACAATATTGCACTGAGCCTACCTTTCGCCTCTTCTTCGCCATACTCTTTGACGGCCGTCAGGAGAACGTAGACAAAAACGCGACTCATCTGTAAAGAGTACTTGGCCCCATTGGGCAAGATCCGAGTTAACGTGTTCTCGAGCAAATGCAAGTCGGGCTACTCTGTGTCGTGGGAGAAGTTCTGGGCCACTTGCAGGTCTATGGGCCTTCAATTCAGCTGCAGTTAACCTTTTTCTTGCAGTTCTTTCACTTACACTAACTCCTCGTGTTTATTCAAGTTGATTTCTGGCCTCAACTGCGGTCGTATCTCTATTACGGAGCACGGTCAGCGTCATCCCGAGCCGATGTTTTCTTTGGACGACCCGAATCAGGTCTTCGGCTGTATGATCCAGTCTCATTAAACCGTCGTACAGTTCTGTGAATGCTCACTTGTGATACCCCTAACGTATTGGCAACGTACCGTTAACTTCGACCATCCTGAATAACAGCAATTGCTCGTGCTGCATTAATGGCCACAATACTCATGTTAATTGACAAAAACACAGTTTTCATCAAATCACAATGACAAACCGTCTGTTAATGCCCTCTAAACGTCACAACTGCAAATCTCATTGTTGGAAAAAACTTATCATCTTCAGATTTGAGGTTCACATCATGTACAAAAAAGAACCAAAAACCTAGTGTTAGTATATTTTGTGTGATTTTTTCAAAACTGATATTGACTGTAGCCAAATGTTTAAGAAAGGAACCATTTTCAATACAAACTTTGGGTGATTCGCTTTTTTTGCCGGTGAGTGTAATTAACACAGATATTTTTGTAATTTTTTAAATTGTGTTTATGGAGAAAAAATAAGGCGGCTAAATTAGTAACCCTAGTTACTGATTTGTTTACGTTTTTCACAAGCGTTCAGTGAAAGCAATTTATGTGCAAAAATTAGTGATTCAGAGGATAATTTGCCTTCTGATATTGAAGTGGCTGCTCAATCTGCTATCTGCTATCGATACGTTAGTTCCTGGTAAATCTAAAGAACGTTACGAGATAGCGTACAAATATTTTGATGAATGGTTGGAAGTTAAGAAAATTGGTGACGTTTCTGAACAAGGTGATGCATTCCTATTTTGCTGAACAAGCAGAGAAGTTAAAACCATCCTCCTTATGGTGACGATATACCATGTTGCGAACTTTGGTGTTGATTACCAAGAATATTGATATTACTGAATATCATCAGGTTGTGGCTTTCTTCTCGGAAATCAGAAGGTTACCGACCCAGAAAATCGTTTATTTTTTCCAAAGAAGAGATAAATCAATTTATTAAGAAAATGAATGATAAGGATTTCTTATTTATGAAGGCAAATTGCAGCTCATATTAATAAAAAACAATCTCAAATTTATATAGTTTCAGGTTGTTTTAATAGTCGGAGTGTTTGGTGCTTGTCGACACGAGGAGATGACAAATTTGACGACACGAGACGTTAGAGCCGAAAAAGAATTTATCAAGATCACCTTACTGAATTCAAAAACTAAAATTATGTGGAATTTGCTATAAGGAGAGGAAATTTTCAGGGAATAATTAACATGTTGCTTGGTCATAGAGGCTGGAAGTCGGATAGCATGGCAGAAGGATATGTTGAAATATCTGTCGAAAATAAGAAAATAATTGCTACGAAAATAATGGGTTCTTCAGTTACCGTGGGTTCAACAAATTAGGTCACGGTGGAGAAGCCCAGCTTCAACATAGGAACAGCGTCTGGAGTTAACTTTATAAATGTTTCAAACTGTGTAATTTATGTTAATAAATGGTTTTGCAACTTTCTTTTCTAAAAGTCACTCTTTACCGCACTAGTGCGGTAATTGTTCCTTTACCGCACTTAGTGCGGTAAAAACTACCATTACAATATCAAAGAAAAACCTGTAATCTGGCACATTACATAATGAAAGTAGATAAAAAATATTACAACTGATGGTCACTTGCTTAAAGTAAAGTAAGTAAATGCATATTTATATCAAATACATGGACAAAAAATATATTGGTAAAGGGTCGTGATAAGTATAGCACAAAAATAAAAAATTATCACATTTTTTAATGTTAGATGTTAGACAAATTCGAAGTTCTTTATTTTAACTTACGTTGTTTAAAAAAAATGTCTTTTTACGTTTGCCGATTTGAATTTTATTGGACTAACAAAAGATTCTACTATACACACAAGGTAGAAAAATTACTTTCCATAGATAGCTGGAAAAACCCTCCCAAATTAACAACTGCACAACCCATAACTCCTAAAGACTCCGGATTGTTGTATGTACGTGCATATCATATAATAACTCCAAGTTATTATCTCCCTTGTGTATTGTTTCCACAAAGTCGTTGGATCCACTATTTTTTAAATTAAGCGTGGCTCTGTTTAGTTTGGGTACCACACCATATCTACTTCATTGTCCTTCTTTTCGTAAATTTTACAATAATTCATCATTAGACATGATATTTTTTTGGCATTTTACTTGTCATTATCATTGCCACCGGGATTTTTGCGGTTTCATGATTACTAAAATTTATAAAAATAAAATTAAAATTGCATAAATTTATTTTAAACAAAACAAATTACTGAAATAGACTTTTGATTCCTCAATTTTCCTTCAATTTTTCCAAGTCTCTTTCGGTGACGTGTCTTGTTTCATATACATATATTTGTATAGGTGGGTCTAATCTTCATTATTTACACAGTTTTTTAACGATTAGATTAACCATTATGTAACTACTACCAAGTGACTAAAAATGGGGTGTTTCCTTAACTCAATTTTCTTGTTCACCATGTTTGTACCTTTTATGGTACCTGTATTTACAGTAACAGTTTTCGATTTGAATACACAAATTTTGGAAATGACTAAGGCAGTTACAGAAACTTTTAATGGAGTAAAACGGTTTGATCACTCGGTTGATTTTACAAGAGAACGTCTGTTTTCGAATTTAAACAATATCACTCGACAAATGGGAGAAATAAAGATGAGAATTGACAACACTGGTAAGCAATTACTTATAAAAAAACGTGCATCAAGTTGGTCTTGATTGCTGCACTTTTAATAGCAATTTGCCGTTTCACCATGAAAGGCACCAAAACTAATAAATAATAATAATCGGAATTGCAGAATTATGCAGCAAACACATTGCAATGTTTAAAAAGTTAGGTTATGATTGGCATTTATGATAAGTGGCGAGTAGTCATTAATACTACCACAACGAAGCGGCAAATTCCCAAAATTTCAAAGCCAATTTGATGTACGATATTTTACATTCACTTTTTATTTCGACAGTTTTTTCAATAGCATGTATTTTAGGTAAACATGAAAGTATAGCCAACAGAATATTGGGAAATATTCCTAGTGTTGACAAGTTAGAGTTGACGTTGCACTATATAAACACGCAACAAATTTATATAAATATTTATTACCGTGAGATGGACAGATATGTTAAAAACTTTCACGACTATGAATCTTCAACGTTGTTAAATTTTGCCAATCGAGTCTTGTCTGATATGTGTAATTCTGTCCCTTACATGATGGAGTCTATGTATCAGCAAGTAGTAAAACAAGATATTTTACGACTACTTTTAAAACGTCTTGATGTAAGTGATTCGATTCACCAACGAATTTATTCATAAAATATATTATTTTAGAGGACAACAATAAGTGATTATTTTTGTGAAGAAAACCAATCAGTTGTGCAGATCTTACACAATTTTATGAATGACATTCTTGTGACGAATGTGGAGAGTTACATAGTGACACAAACAGCTTACATGATGCAGAAATTGTACAACAATGGTAAGCTGTAACATCATAGCGAGTATTTACGTGGTTCACTCATTTCTGTAGTACACAAAATTTAGTGACAAAGTGAATTCGCAACAGTAGACTACATCTGATTTGTTCAGATTTTGAAACTAGCTAAGATATTGAATATCTAAATAGAATGATAAAGCAATAGATCTGATGTGGACTTCATTTAGTTGACATATCGTCATATGAATATTTGTTTAAACCAAGTCCATTAATTGTAAAATTTTAGTTTTATACATTTCGTCATTTTAATATTTAAAAAGAAACTCAAAAAATTTTTTTTTCACTAGCAGCCATGAAGCATGCAAATGTAGACTCATTTAGAGGTAGCAAATTCAACTTTTGCGACCACGGGTTCAAAAAGAAGATTGAGGTTATGTACGCAATATTTGATGTTATTATTTCTTAAAAAATGAATAGATGTGTGCTATTAACATTACTTGAGTATACGCATGGTAGTTGGTAGACGGTGGGAGATAAAATGATTCATTCAGCGACAAGTGTAAACGGTTTTCTTTGTGTTGAAGATTTAGATTAAGTTTGATTAGAAATCAAAACAAAATCATGTTGCGTCAAAAAATTGAACGTTTATTTTTTCAATTTATTGTCTTATGGTTTCTACTAGTGAAAAAAATAGTACATTAACCACGGTTGCAAAGCCATTTCTAGACCTCGCGCTTCAGAGCCCTCGACGCTGCGCGTCTCGGGTTCTAATTTGCGCTCGGTCTAGAATGCGTGGCTTTGCAACCTTGGCTAATAATATACTATTTGAAACATTTAAATAATAGTTTGGGGTACTTAATAAATAATAATTAATTATAAACACACTCTACCGAACTATTCTGCTGACACTTTATGGGTGAAATTAAAACAAAAGCTAAACAGAATAGTTTAAAGACTAAATTAACTACTGCTTTATTGAAGGGAGCTATCAAAAAGAAAGCGAAGACACCAACCAAGCATTTTGGACACGAAATAAGAAAATAGTATCAATCATGAAGACTTATATGGTTAATGCATCTTTAGAACTGTGGAGATGTGATCCTAAAAAACACGAGAAAGGTACAAACAAAATAGATGAAATGTTTAATACTGAGTTAATACATTTACAACTTGATAAATATTGTCACCAAAGATATATTCTTTGGCGCTATGATAAACGATACATTATTAACACGTTGACTGCCATGTGAGACCAATGGGGCTTCACGATCGTACTGGCATGATAAATGATACACTGTTAACAACAAAATTAATTTTAGATGTAACTTATTTTGAAATCACAAACTTCCTCCACGGAATTATTTTAAACCAAATTAATTTAGAACCAAAAGCAAAATGTACAAACACATGCGACGCTTTTACCTATACAACAAAATATCAGTGTCACAATGATAAGTGGTGTAAAGAAGAAATAAGTAAGGAACAAACAACGTGTGCAAAAATCATCAATTGTCAATACATCGATTCGTCCATGGAGGTTTGTCGTTCTGGAGTAAGTCTATTCCTCTAATAATACTGTCAATAATTAATTGTACGTCTCTAGAACATGTCTGAAACCAACAGAAGATACGATTACGTCAAATTTGGAAACGGAATACATTATGGAGAAAGAAAGAGTTGCAGCAAACCTCGATCAACTCACTTGGAAACTTACCGATACTGGCTATTCTTTAAATGCACCTACTGTTACTGTGTGTGTGAAGAAAGGCCATCGGTATTTTCTGAGATATACATTAATATGCGTAAGGTCATATCAAACATTACTGACAACAAGTACGTATCAAGCCATACTGATTTGAACTTATAAATGTAGCAAGTTTGTAGAGTTGTGACCGGTTTGCGCTTTGTTAAAATCCACCGAGTTGTTCATCTGCAAATACAAGAAGGGAGAGTTCTCCCACATGGACAGATTGACCTTGATAGCGTTCAGTGGGTGCCAGTTGAAGATTATAACGTCACTGATAGCGCTTATCGCGATGGTAAGGACTATTATACTCTTAAATGGGAACAAAGAGAATTCGATTTGGATGACATGTTTGCTGACGAGGGAAGCGTTGTCACTGGCGGTGCGTTTAAAAAATTTCATAATCGACTGCACTTTAAGGTATTAACAAGTCCATACAATTTTATAACCGGGAGCCTGGGGAATAAAAGCACTGTACAAAGTGATCCTGCTCTTCTGTATAAGCACAAGTACTTCTAAAATCCAACTTAAAATTACAATATTGCCAACATTTTTTTTACAGATTTTCTAATAAAGAATTGAAGCTTGACGGGGTCGATGTTCCGATTCGTTCAAAAGTTCACTCGACTGAATTTACCACCAAAAAATATGTGAAATTTACAAACACAGGATACGAGGAAGATGCTGGTCAAACGACGGTACCATTTTTTGATGCTCAACCTGTAGAATCAGCTATACCGGTTCCGTTAAGTGGGGTTGGGGTTTTTCACAAGGGAATATCCGGTTTTGGAGGATTTATTGCACCCAGAATTTTCACTTATAATTTTACGAAACATCTGGAAGAGGTGATCAACCAGATGAGTAAAAACGATAAACTGTGAAATATTTACACCGTTTGGAAGATAAAGCAGACCAATGTGTAGCATAAAAAAAAATATATCACAACTGATGGGTACTTGCTTTTGCTATGGTATCTTGAGCTGTGAAGTGTCAAACATTGAAATTGCTATTATTCAAAACTTGTTCTGACAGATAAAGATTTTTATGTTTGCCGATTTGAGTTTTATTGGACTAACAAAAGATTTTGCTGTTCACACAATGCAGAGAAAATATTTTCCACAGATATCTGGAAAAACCTGCCAAATTAACAACTGCACAACCCATAACTTCTAAAGGCTTTCCGCATTGTTGTACGTGAATATCATGTAATAACTCCAAGTTATTATCTCCCTTGTGTATTGTTTCCACAAAGTCGTTGGATCCACTATTTTCTAAAATAAGCGTCGCTCTGTTTAGCTTGAATACCACAGTCTATCTACTTCATTATTATTTCTTTTCATAAATTTTACAATAATTCATCATTAGACATGATATGTTTTTGGCATTTTACTTGTTATTATCATTGCCACCAGAATTTTTTGGCTTCATGATTGCTACGATTTATAAAAGTACTCAGTAATAAGGAAATTTTTCAGACCGTTTTGGCTAATTAGACAGCTCAATTTTTTTAGACATGTACTTCAAAAACACTGTGTATATTACACCAAAATTGAAAACAAAAGGAGGAAACACGACAAGTTAAAATTAAAATTGCTTAAATTTATTTTAAACTAAAGAAATTACTGCAATAGATTTTTGATTCGTCAGTTTTCCTTCAATTTTTCCAAGTCTCTTTCGGTGACGTTTCTTCTTAAATATATATTTGTATAGGTGGGTCTAATCTCCATTATTTACACAGTTTTTAGCGATTAGATTAACCATTATGCAACTATTACAAAGTGAGTGAAAATGCGTTGACTACTTAGCTCAATTTTCTTGTTCACTTTGATTGATTGGCTCCGTTATTTTTATAAACAATGTAAGGAATCGATGTATACGGTATACATTACACCAATCGATATGATTTTATAAGTGAAAAAGTCCCTTGCGCAAACACACTATTGCCTTTTATTTTATTTAAATTTAGATATAGTGGATCTTATCGTATGTTTACACAATTTTAACCGTTATGTAATTGCGACAAAGTAAGTGAAAATGCGGTGTCTTTTTACTTCTATTTTCTTGCTTATTATGTTTGAACCATTCGTGGAACCTACAGTTACAGTTTCAGTTTTCGATTTGAATACAAAAATTTTGGAAATTACTAGGGCACTTATACAAACTTTTAATGGAGTACGAGGGTCTGATCACCCGCTTGATATTTTAAGAGAACGTCTGTTTTCGAATTTAACCAATATCATTCCGCAAATTGAAGAAATAAACATGAGAAATGACACTGGTAAGTAGTATGCTTATAAGAAACGTGCACCAAGTTGGTCTTGATCACTGTACTTTTAATAGCAATTTGCCGTTTCACCGTGATAGGCATCAAAACTAATAATAATAATCATCGGAATTGAACTATTATGCAGCAAACACATTAAAACGTTTTAAAAAGTTAGGTTATGATTGCCATTTATCATAAGTGGCGAGTAGTCATTAATACCACAACGAAGCGGCAAATTCCCAAAATTTCAAAGCCAACTTGATGTACGATATTTTATACTCATTTTTTTCAATAATATGTATTTTAGGTAAACATGAAAGTATGGCTAACAGAATATCCGAAAATATGCCTACTGCTGACACGTTAAAATTGACTTTGTACTATATAAACCAGCAACAAATTTATATAAACATGTATTACTGTGAGATGGAGAAATATGTTAAAAATTTTGAGGACTATGAATTTGCAACGTTGTTAAATGTTGCCAATCGAGTCTTGTCTGATACGTCTAATTCTGTCCCTTCCATGATAGAAGCTATATATCAGCAAGTAGTAACACAAGATATTTTAAAAAAACTTTTAAAACGTCTTGATGTAAGTGATTCGTTTCACCAACGAATTTATTCATAAAATAGATTATTTTAGAGGACAACAATACGTGGTTATTTTTGTGAAGAAAAACAATCAGTTGGGCAGATCTTACACAATTTTATGAATGAAATTCTTGTGATGAATGTGAAGAGTTACATTCTGATACAAACAGCTTACATGTTGCAGAGATTGTACAAGAACGGTAAGTGTATTATTCATTTCTGTAGTAGACAAAATTTAATAACAAAGTGGATTCGCAACAGTAGGCTACATTTGATTTGTTCAAATTTTGAAACTAGCTAATACATTTAAATGTCTAAATTGAATGATAAAGTAACAGATTTGATATGCACTTCATTCACTCGACATATCGTCCATTAATTGTAAAATTTTAGTTTTATATCTACAATATACAATACATTACGTCCATTTTTATTTGAAAAGAAACCCAAAATATTGTTTTTGAAACATTTAAATAATAATTTTGGGTAATAAATAATAATTAATAATAAACACACTCTATCAAACTGTTCACGTAATTAAAATCCAGGAGCAATGATTGTAATTTGTATTAAATTTTCAAACTAACAAACGTTAGTTTACCAATCTAGTGCATACACTTTACAGATGAAACTTAAAGAAACGCTAAAGAGAACAATTTAAAGACTAAATTAACTTCTACTTTATTGAAGGGAACTATCAAAAAGAAAGCGAAGACGCCAATCAAGAATTTTGGGCACGCAGTAAGAATATAGTATCAACCATGAAGACTTATATGGTAAATGCATCTTTAGAACTGTGGAGATGTGATCCTAAAGAACACGAGAAAGGTACAAAGTTAATACATTTACAACTTGATAAATATTGTCACCAAAGATATATTCTTTGGCGCTATGATAAACGATACACTGTTAATAACAAAATTAATTTTAGATGAAACTTATTTTGAAATCACAAACTTCCTCCACGGAATTATTTTAAACAAAGTGAATTTAGATCCAAACGGAGAATGTAGTACGGAATGCGACGTTTTTACCTATACTACAAAGCATCAGTGTCATAATAATAAGTGGTGTAAGCAAGAAACAACGTGTTCAAAAATCATCAACTGCTACTATATCGATTCCTCGATGGAGGTTTGTCGTTCCGGAGTAAGTCTATTCCCTTAATACTACTACCAATAATTAGAAGTACTGTAGAGCATGTTTAAAACCAACAGAAGATACGATTACATCAAATTTGGAAACGGAAGACATTTTGGAAAAAGCATGACTTGCAGCAAATCGAGAACAACTCACTTGGAAACTTACCGAAGCAGGTTGATCTTTAAATGCTCCTACTGTTACTGTCTCTGTGAAGAAGGGCCAAAATTCTTTTCCGAGAGATACATTAATATGCGTTTGGTTAAGTCAAATATTACTGACAACAAGTACGTAATCGACCCGTACTGATTTGAACTTATAAATGTAGCAAGTTTGTAGAGTTGTGACAGGTTTGCGCTTTGTTAAAATCCACCGAGGCATTCATCTACAAATACAAGAAGGAAGAATTCTCCCACATGGACAGATTAACATTGACAGCGTTCGGTGGATACCAGTTGAAGATTATAATGTCATGAATAAAACCTATGAGGATGATAAGGATTATTATACTCTTAAATGGGAACAAAGAGAATTCGATTTGGTTGACATATTTGCTAAAGAGGGAAGCGTTGTCACTGGAGTTGCGTTTGAAAACTTTTATGGTCGACTGCACTTGAAGGTATTAACAAATCCATACAATTTCAAAACCGGGAGCCTGGGGCTAAATACCACTTTACAACGTGATCCTGTTCTTCGTTATAAGCACAAGTACTTCTAGAATCTAATCTAAAATTACAATATTGCCAATACGTTCTTTACAGATTTCCCAAAGAATTGAAGCTTGACAGGGTCGATGTTCCGATTCGTTCAGAAGCTCACTCGAATAAATTTACCACGAACAAATATGTGAAATTTACAAACACAGGATACGAGCAAGATGCTGGTCAAACGACGGTACCATTTTTTGATGCTCAACCCGTAGAATCAGCTATACCGGTTCCGTTAATTGGAGTTGGGGTTTTTCACAAGGGAAGATCCGGTTTTGGAGGATTTATTGCACCCAGAATTTTCACTTATAATTTTACGAAACATCTGGAAGAGGTGATCAACCAGATGAGTAGTAAAAACGATAAATTGTGAAAAATTCACACCATTTGGAAGGCAAAGTAGATTAACGTGTAGCAAATGTTTTTAATAAAATAAAAAAATTGGGTCCCAACTGATAGCTTTCATTTTACTAGTTCGCAATGTATACTAACATAGTTTTATTTATTGGAAAACACATAAAGAAATATAATCCGAAACAATCCTTTTATTAAAATTGGTGTTATTTGCAAAAAAAAAATATATATATTTTGTTGCTTCCTATACCCAAAATAAGTATTTTAAAATAATTTTAATGAACTAAGTCGAAGTTACCCAAATTGTAGTTCTATCTTGTCAACAACTACAGAAATGGGTAAATATAAAACAAACGCTGTTAAAAGGCTTGAACAACCCTTTAATTATGTAAATGACAAACGCATTAAATCCAAAATTCTAACTACTTACAAAGTGATTCTGACATGGGGTTCCTAAACAAGTAAGTGTTCAGTTAGCAACTTCCCCAATGAAAATTTTAACGCTTGCTGAAGAGTTTAAACTAATTAAAACAAAACTATTTCTAAAACTCATTAATTTTCTTATTAATCGTGCGGTTTTATTAAAACGTATCTTAAGCAATTTTTTGCGAACCCATCCTTTTATTCGAAATGGTGTCATTTGAACAATACGATATAACACTGTTGCTTCATTTAACCGATAAAAAACGACGCGAGTATTTTTAAATAATTCCAATAATAAAACTCCGCAATTTCTTTAAACTCCTAGTTATCTAACCAGGAAAACAAACAACGTCTTAACTAAAAAGCCGATTACCTCTATAATAAATGATGGCTAACGTAAGTCAAAAACCGGAATGAGCAAATACAAAACAGATGCTTTAAAAAAACATACATATAGTGATAAGGACATAAAACAATCAGATGGCGTATTGATAACGGAATCATCGTCTAGTTTTCTGATATATATAGTTCAGTTTGCAAACATCCTTTGTGTGAAAATGCGGCTTCCTAAATCAGTTGTCTTGCTCGCAACATGCTTACCATTTGTTACATCAATGGTCGGACCGTCATTTTTTGAGTTTAGTGACAAAATATTTCAAATAACGAACACGGTTTTTGACACTGTTATCACTATCAACAATGGTAATACAACAAAAGATTATGCATTTTCACAAATGGATTTAGCCGTGATGCAGACTGACGAAATGGAAGGAAAAATGAAAGAATTTAAGTAAGCACAAATCAATTGTTATAAATTCACGTAAATATTTAAGACAGTGAAGCAGTTAAGAAGATATCGCACATTTTACCAAATGAAGCACGATTAAAACCAAACATAACCGATATACGCATGAAACAGAATTATTTGGTCACTTACTACAAAGACACGGTGAAATACCTCAGAGATTTTGATATGTACGCAAATTCGACCTTTATAAATTTTGCTACCAGAGTTTTATCCGAACTGCCGAGTTCTGTGACTCATATGACGAGGTCAATACATCAACAAATCGTAAAAGAGGATTTTATAGATCTACTTTTAGAACGCTTAAGGGTGAGTTTTAAAAGAAGATACGAACAAAAACAAGTCGTTTATTTAGCCCACAGGTAACGGCTACTTTTGCAAAGAGAAGCAGTCCTTACAACAACTTTTACATAATTTTTTCAACGAGATTCTCCTCATGAACACGAGAAGCTACATCACCGTAAATACAGCCTACATTTTCAAGAAGTTGTACACCAAAGGTACAAAAATATAAAGTTAGTATACAACAATTAAACATTATTTTGAAGGCGACTTCCACAACGAAATCACCCATGCTTTCGAAACGCTCAAACTCCAAACTAACAACCTAGTTGCTGTCATGAAGTTACACTTGGCACGAGCATCGTCGGAGTTGTGGCGATGCGACCCCAACAAACATGTTAGTGGTACTACTATACAAAATAGTTTGCAAATTTTGAAAACTTGTAAAGAACCTTGTAGACGAAACTTTTATTGAATTAAGGCATTTTCTCCGCGGCATCATTCTCAACAAGGCCAATTTAGACCCTAATAAAGCATGCAGTGCCGAATGTGACGCTTTCACCTACAGAAAACTTCCAAATAAATGCAATAATGACAACGCGTGGTGCAATAAGCAACAACCATGTCGAAAAATCATCAACTGCCACTACATAGATTCTTCAATGGAAGTATGTCCTTCAAAGGTATCCCGTAAATTCAGAAGCAACAAGTATTAAAAATAACACGTCATTGTAGAACATCAACAGAGAGAATAGAAGATACGAATATGTCGAATTCGGTAATGGTAGAGTATTCGGAAAAAAGAAAAATTGCAGTACGCGGTTAACATATTTGGCAACTTATATCTACTGGATTGTGTATAGATGCTCGTACTGTTTTTGTATATGTGACGAATATGACAAATATTCTACCGAAAGAACGATCAATTTACGTGTAGCAATGTCTAATACAGCAGGCAATAAGTATAGACTTTTATCTGAACTGAAACATGTAAGTAATCTTGTTTTAGAGTTGTTACAGGGTTGCGTTTCGTTAAGCACAACCGAATCATCCATTTACAAGTACAAGAAGGGAAACTCCTTCCGTTTGGACAAATAGATCTTAGTACTGTGCGTTGGGTACCACCTGAAGATTACTCAATACAAAACAAGAACTACCATAAGAATGAAGACTACCATGTGTTTACTTGGGAAGAACGAGGTGTTGATTTAGCTGATATAAAAGCCGAAAATGGAACCGTCATTACAGGTACTTTAGTAATAATAACACAACAAGAAAAAATGAAAAAATCATATATGTCACAGGTGTCCAGTTTAAAAAAGTTGGTACTCGAATACATTTGGAAGTTCGATTAACACCATTCAATTTCACCACTGGAGTGCTAAAAGATAATCAAAGTTTCATAATACACGACCCAAATATACAACACAAACACGAGTATGAATGGCATTATCGTACTTTTAAAATCTACATGTTTGTTTTTAGTTCAGGTAAAGAACTCAAACTTATCACAACCGATATTCCTACTCGCTCACCATTCCCTTCCACCCGACTGACTACTGATACGTACGTTCAGTTTACAAATACGGGATATGATAAAGATGCTGGTCAGACGACCGTACCATTTTTTGATGCTCAACCTGTGGAATCAACGATGCCAGTACCACTATCTGGAGTTGGGTTATTTCATAAAGGGCAACCAGGCTACGGCGGTTTCATAACGCCAAAAATTTTGACCTATAACTTTTGGAAACATTTAAAACCTGTATTTCCCCTAGGTAGAAATAAAAATTAGGAATAAATTTGTGCGATATCGTATCATTTTACAAATAAGATGCTACAAATGTGATATTTTTCGATGTATTAAGTAAACAATAAATGTTTGATAACAGGACGTTTTTATCAGTTACTGCGGGTTACAAAACTTCGCCTATTTTATTATATATTTATATATATAAAAAAAAACACACATACACAAACAACTGCTCGACATTCGGGTTATCATTAATTTCGTTGATATAATAAGCAGTAGACATTTACTACAAAACTAAAATGACTACACAATATGTAATCTAGAAGAAGTCACAACAAAGAAATATTTCTTTAGAGGTTGAAAAATGTTTTTGGAAGTATTCTCATGTTTCGCTGGTAAATATAAAAATTATACGAGGTAGGTCTGCTATAAATAAATCGATAATTAAAAAAAAAATAGTCAGAAATTTTCAAACTTAGTAAGACAAACCTTGTATACTCGATTTGTGTTTTTATACTACAATATTAATTTACTTTCAGTTCTAGCGACGGCTATATGTCATAACTGTGGTAAGTAAAACATTTTAAAATATTTTACATTGAGTAAATATATAGTCAATTTCTGAGGATCATCTCCCTAAAACTCCTCCCAAATTTCAACTAAAAATTACCTATATTCTCATTTTAGAGAGTTTCGAAGAAGATTTTAGATTACCACAAACCAACCAACAGGAATTACAATGGACAGGTCGCTATAACCTAACAAGAATAACGAGTTGTAGTGCGATCAAACATAGAGAAGGTACGCTATTCTTTTTCTACGGGTTACACCTGAATTTTGAATACCATCGTGTTAAAACTCAATTCAAAACGTGAATCATAAAAAATATTTATAAAAATATTATTTCCTATCGTACAGCAATACCAACTGTGATAATTGATAACATTATAGGCAAAACATACTTAGAAATAACAAATTTTCTTCACGGATATATAATCAACATGAAGAACATGCATCCGCGCGGACAATGTCGCCAAGAATGTAAAGACTTCACTCACGTTAAAACCGAAAAGTGCTTTCAAAATAAATGGTGCAAAGAACAACCACCCTGTTCAAAAATCATTAAATGTGAGTTAAAGTCAACTGCAATGAATGTTTGTCGTTCGGTGAGTGCTACAACAATAAATACGAAATACTAATATGAATACGTAAATCTTTTTTAATTTCAGAATATGCGTCGTACCAACCGAAGGTACGAATATATCGATGAACCCGGGATAGAACGAAACTGTACAGACACTTCTGTGTATTTAGAAACACAATCAAGAGGTCTTTTTGATATATGCGACTACTGTTACTGCATATGTGAGGAAGATATGCCATCAGCAGACAGATATATTAGTTTACGTACTGCTGTGGCTGATGTGAGCGACAATAGGTCAGTACCGTTTTTATTTTTAATTGGTCATTAGTTGGATTCAAATTTGCAGGATTGTCACTGGCATTCGCTTTATTAAAAATAATGGAATAATACATTTTCAAGTTCAAGATGGTAAACTTATGCCATACGGAAAAATAAACGGAAGTACTGTCAGATGGGTGCCAGTTCGTGAATTCACAGTAACAGATGAAAATGTTGCCGAAAACGTGGACTACCATAAATTAACTTGGCAGCACAGAAGGGTTCAATTAAACGATATTTTTGCAGACGAGGGATTCGTAATTACAGGTATACATGGAAATCTTTAAAAATTGGAAATATAATTGTTGAATTGTCGTTGTAGGTGTCAGATTTAAACAAATAGGACATCATTTACGCCTGAATCTAGAAATACTCACAGCTCCTGTCAATTATGCAATTGGAAAACTTATAAATCCTAAAAATACAAGTACTTACAAAGGAATTCCTAACATAGGACTCGTGAATAAGTAAGTCAACATTAAATTCGAAACTATTAGAGTTATTAAAAATTTTAGGTTTGGCAAAGAGCTTAGATTAAGTCAACCTGATGTACCAAGTCGTGACAGGAAAGCAAGCATTGTTTCTTCGACAAATAAATACGTACAATTTACGACTACAGATTATTATAAAGATGCAGGGCAAACCACTGTTCCGTTTTTTGATGCCAAAGCTGCGGAATCAAGAGGTTCGCCTTTGGTTGGAATCGGAATTTTTCACAGAGGAGGTGAAGAGTCTGGTGGATTCATAGTCCCACAAATATACGCCTTGAATTTACCAAAAACGTCTAAATTTGGCCGTGGTGTAAAAGAACTAACATCTATTTTATGTACCGATCTTGCATTTAATAGATCGTTTTTTTGTGGCAGCGAAATTCTAAAACCCCAAGAATTCTTACCATTACTATGATATACGAAAGAAAAGGATCCACGAAACAAAAAATTTTACAGAAACAAGTTTAAAAAATTAAATTTTAATATTTATAACATTAATATAACAGTCACGAATCGAAACTATGAAAATTGTATGGGTTGTGGGGGTGGCACCTCTTAATAAAATCTACATAATATTTGTCTTAAAATAATAACTTGGTAACGTTATAACAAGAAAACAAAACAAAAAAAGTCAAAATCAATTGGTAATAACACTAATAACGTAAGTAAACCAAATTTTGTGTTTCTGGATGTTGTATAATTTTGACAATCAATAGCTGTTAACTACGACATTTTACATGATACAGGAAGTATTGTGATGTGGTTCATTTGATAAATAATAATTATATGTTTTCTCGACGTTTCACTTCTGGTAGAAGAACACAAAAATGTCAATTTCCCGCTTCCGTCTGCTTGCTATTTGTCGGTGTCTGTCTGTCTAGGGTTTCATTAAACAAATAATTTCCGAAACTATTGGACTGATTAGACTAAATAAAATTCATTTGTTCGTCCTCATGGTTTTATTTAAGTTCACGTTGTGATTCGTTTGTCTAGCATCAAAATTGTTGGCCTCATGTAAATATCAAGTAAATATATCATTCACCATTCTCTTTTCTCCCATTTTGTTTACCACCTTTCTACATATATACAGGGTAAATCAGAAACTAAAGTTGTACGGTGTTTCATTTTTGAGGCATGGCATTCACCTATATATTTTAACATATTCTAATCAGCTTCTCCTTATTGTTTAGCAGTGCAAGGGTTACAAAAAATCGATAATATTTTTAAGATCTGTAATGCAATATTTTATGGTGAGATAAACAGAGGTATGCAGTATGTTGTGGTAAGAATTAAACCAAATTTTACTATACGCAGTGTTTTATTTTAAATGATTACAATTTCAAATCTCGACGTTCCAGTTTTTTTAAATACAATACATCTTACTCTTTTTTTTTCTCTTTCTTTCATTAGGTCCGTGTGTCTCTCAAAAGTAAAAAATCGGCAATAACTATCAAATTTAAATATCGAAGAAACCTAACAAAAAAGAAAATTTTAGTACATAGTTAAAAAATATATGTAAACACTGTGTATATTAAGGCTGAATTTTATTTATATCACAATAAAGCGTGTATCTTTATTTATCTCTCCATAAAATATTGTAACCTATTGTAACCTATTCGTCCACTGCAAAAAAAAAAAAAAAATAAGAAAATTGGAATATCTTAAAAAAAAAAAAGTTATAAAGACCACGAAGAGGTCAATTGAAAAGTCTAAAAATAAATAGCAATTTTTGATTTTTTTGATATCTCTGCGTTCTGCGATCTTCTTCTCTGGTATCTTTTCATTTCCTTCTAACAGATCCACCAAATATTCCTTCAAACCATTTTTATATTACTGCTATTATTCTTTGCACTTCACTTTTTTCTCCTCTCTTAGACTTATCTCCATTTACCTTTCTTTACAACTTTTACTATAATCCTTTCTCGTCTTTTTATTGAATTCCCCTGTTACTTACCTAAAGTAAGTTATGGAAGTATTGTAATAGGATCCATTCGATGAATGGTTACTTTCACGTTTTCTCGACGTTTCATGACCCGAGAGTACGAAAATGTAGGTCTCGCGTTCTCGTCTGTGTCAATGTTTAGTAGCCACAATCTTCAAAATTATTGCATCGATTGTCGTCAAATTATATATACGCATTAGGAATATCGTGTAGTTGATAAAACGCTAACCAAATTTTGTCTAATCATCCCCACCAACAATGGGATCACGTCATCTACAAAATTTACAATAGTAAATGTTATCTAAATTTTATAGAGTTATTAGATATTCTCGCACTTGTGGGCTTATTTTACAAATACGATGCTACAAATGTGGTATTTTTCGATGTATTATGTCAATAATAAATGTTCGATAACAGCACGTTTTTATCAGTTTAAAACGGGTTACAAAACCTCGCCTATTTCATTATTAAAAATAAAAAATACACACACACAAACAACTGCTCGACATTCGGGTTATCATTAATTTCGTTGATATAATAATAAGCAGTAGACATTTGCTACAAAACTAAAATGACTACACAATATGTAATCTAGAAGAAGTCACCACAAAGAAATAATTCATTACACAGGTTGAAAAATGTTTTTGGAAGTATTCTCATGTTTCGCTGGTAAATATAAAAATTATACGAGGTAGGTCTGCTAAAAATAAATCGATAATTAAAAAAAATAGTCAGAAATTTTCAAACTTGTAAGACAAACCTTGTATACTTGATTTGTGTTTTTGTGATACACTAATAATTTACTTTTAGTTCTAGCGACGGCTACATGTCATAACTGTGGTAAGTAAGACATTTTGAAATATTTTACATTAGTAAATATATAGTCAATTTCTGAGGATCATCTCCTTAAAATTCTTCTCAAATTTCAACTAAAAATTACCTATATTCTCATTTTAGAGAGTTTCCAAGAAGAAGAATTTAGATTATCACAAACCAACCAACAGGAATTACAATGGACAGGTCGCTATAACCTAACAAGAATAACGAGTTGTAGTTCGATCAAACATAGAGAAGGTACGCTACTCTTTTTCTACGGGTTACACCTGAATTTTGAATACCATCGTGTTAAAACTCAATTCAAAACGTGAATCATAAAAAATATTGTTTCCTATCGTACAGCAATACCAATTGCGATAACTGATAACATTATAGGCAAAACATACTTAGAAATAACAAATTTTCTTCACGGATATATAATCAACATGAAGAACATGCATCCGCGCGGTCAATGTCGCCAAGAATGTAAAGACTTCACTCATGTTAAAACCGAAAAGTGCTTTCAAAATAAATGGTGCAAAGAACAACCACCCTGTTCAAAAATAATTAAATGTGAGTTTAAGTCAGCTGCCATGAATGTTTGTCGTTCGGTGAGTGGTACAACAATAAATACGAAATACTAAAATAAATACGTAAATCTTTTTTAATTTCAGAATATGCGTCGTACTAACCGAAGGTACGAATATATCGATGAACCCGGGATAGAACGAAACTGTACAGGCACTTCTGTGTATTTAGAAACACAATCAAGAGGTCTTTTTGATATATGCGACTACTGTTACTGCATATGTGAGGAAGATATGCCATCAGCAGACAGATATATTAGTTTACGTACTGCTGTGGCTGATGTGAGCGACAATAGGTCAGTACCGTTTTTATTTTTAATTGGTCATTAGTTGGATTCAAATTTGCAGGATTGTCACTGGCATTCGCTTTATTAAAAATAATGGAATAATACATTTTCAAGTTCAAGATGGTAAACTTATGCCATACGGAAAAATAGACCAAAGTACTGTCAGATGGGTGCCAGTTCGTAAATTCACAGTAACAGATAGAAACGTTCACGAAAATGTGGACTACCATAAATTAACTTGGCAGCACAGAAGAGTTCAATTAAACGATGTTTTTGCAGACGAGGGATTCGTAATTACAGGTATACATGCAAATCTTTAAAAATTGGAAATATAATTGTTGAATTGTCTTTGCAGGTGTCAGATTTAAACAAATAGGACTTCATTTACGCCTGGATTTAGAAATACTCACAGTTCCTGTCGATTATGTAACTGGAAAACTTATAGAACCTGAAACTACAAGTACTTACAAAGTAATTCCTAACATAGAACTCGTGAATAAGTAAGTCAACATTAAATTTAACACTATAATAGAGTTATTAAAAATTTTAGGTTTGGCAAAGAGCTTAGATTAAGTCAACCTGATGTACCAAGTCGTGACGGGGTATCCAGAATTGTTTCTTCGACAAATAAATACGTACAATTTACGACTACAGATTATTATAAAGACGCAGGGCAAACCACTGTGCCGTTTTTTGATGCCAAAGCTGCGGAATCAAGAGGTTCGCCTTTGGTTGGAATCGGAATTTTTCACAGAGGAGTTGAAGAGTCTGGTGGATTCATAGTCCCACGAATATACGCTTTGAATTTACCAAAAACGAAATTCTAAAACCCCAAGAATTCTTACCAAATTACTATGATATACGAAAGAAAAGGATCCACGAAACAAAAAATTTTACAGAAACAAGTTTAAAAAATTAAGTTTTAATATTTATAACATTAATATAACAGTCAAGAATCGAAACTATGAAAATTGTATTGGTTGTGAGGGGTGACACCTCTTAATAAAATCTACATAATATTTGTCTTGGGAATAATAACTTGGTAAATAAAACAATAAAATAAACTCGTTTTCAAAGTCGCATAAATTTCAACTTGGTACCGTTATAAGAAGAAAACAAAACAAAAAAAAACTCAAAATCAATTGGTAATAACACTAATAACGTAAGTAAACTAAATCTTGTGTTTTTGGATGTTGTTGTACAATTTTGACCATCAATAGATGTTAACTACGACATTTTACATGATACAGGAAGTATTGTGATGTGGTTCATTTGATAAATAATAATTATATGTTTTCTCGACGTTTCACTTCTGGTAGAACACAAAAATGTCAATTTCCCGCTTCCGTCTGCTTGCTATTTGTCGGTGTCTGTCTGCCTAGGGTTTCATTAAACAAATAATTTCCGAAACTATTGGACTGATTAGACTAAATAAAATTCATTTGTTCGTCCTCATGGTTTTATTTAAGTTCACGTTGTGATTCGTTTGTCTAGCATCAAAATTGTTGGCCTCATGTAAATATCAAGTAAAATATATCATTCACCATTCTCTTTTCTCCCATTTTGTTTACCACCTTTCTACATATATACAGGGTAAATCAGAAACTAAAGTTGTGCGGTGTTTCATTTTTGAGGCTTGGCATTCACCTATATATTTTTACATATTCTAATCAGCTTCTCCTTATTGTTTAGCAGTGCAAGGGTTACAATAAATCGATAATATTTTTAAGATCTGTAATGCAATATTTTATGGTGAGATAAACAGAGGTATGCAATATGTTGTGGTAAGAATTAAACCAAATTTTACTATACAGTGTTTTATTTTAAATTATTACAACTTCAAATCTTGACGTTCCAGTTTTTTTAAATACAATACATCTTACTCTTTTTTTTCTCTCTTTCTTTCATTAGGTCGGTGTGTCTCTCAAAAGTAAAAAATCGGAATAACTATCAAATTTAAATATCGAAGAAACCTAACAAAAACGAAAATTTTAGTACATAGTTAAAAAATATATGCAAACACTGTGTATATTAAGGCTGAATTTTATTTATATCGCAATAAAGCGTGTATCTTTATTTATCTCTCCATAAAATATTGTAACCTATTGTAACCTATTCGTCCACTGCAAAAAAATTAAGAAAATTGGAATATCGTAAAAAAACTAGTTATAAAGGCCACGAAGAACCCAATTGAAATGTGTAAAAATAAATAGCAATTTTTGATCTTTTTGGTATCTCTGCGTTCTGCGATCTTCTTCTCTGGTATCTTTTCATTTCCTTCTAACAGATCCACCAAATATTCCTTCAAACCATATTACTGCTACTATTCTTTGCATTTCACTTTTTTCTCCTCTCTTAGCCTTATCTCCATTTTCCTTTCTTCACAACTTTTGCTATAATTCTTTCTCGTCTTTTTATTTGATTCCCTTGTTACTTACCTAAAGTAAGTTACTGAAGTATTGTAATAGGATCCATTCGATGAATGGTTACTTTCATGTTTTCTCGACGTTTCATGACCCTAGAGTACGAAAATATAGCTCTCACGTTCTCGTCTGTGTCAATGTTTATTAGCCACAATCTCCAAAACTATTGCATCGATTGTCGTCAAATTATATATACGCATTAGGAATATCGTGTAGATCCTAAAACGCTAACCAAATTTTGTCTAATCATCCCCACAACAATGGGATGACGTCATCTATAAAATTTACAATAGTAAATGTTATAGAGTAAGATATGTTTGTGCTTCTAGATTATGAATCCGTGTTGAGTTTTTACCCTAGGCATCCAAATTTTTGGAAACACCAAAAAAATAAAAATTGTATAACAACATTTTACAACTTAACACTGAAGCTGTTAAATCGAATGTACTCAAACTTGTAAGATCATCGTAAGCATTGTAAATCATTAATCAAAATATATCCGTTTACTCCCTCTCAAAATTCTGTCGAATAAATCTCATTTAAAATGAGTATGTAAAATATCAATTTAAACTTCTGATTTATAAATGCATTTATATTATTTATTTATATTTTATATAATTACTTATACAGGGTTTATTCAAATTGATGTGTCTTTGCTAAAATGTTAGCATAGCATAGCATGCTCCGTTATGTATACTTTAACCGACCACACACATCTTGTGGTTTGTGGATCTGCCTCGATTTTTTTAACTAGGGTTTATATAAAAAAACAAAATTCGTGAAACCAAATTTTACAATTTTTCCAAGAATCTGTATTTGTTTGTTTGCATTTCAGGGGCGAGCGAAGTTATGTCTAAATAATTTTGGGCCACTTTTTTCCTCCATTTTGTAACTTCTTTCTTGTTTTTGATCTCAGTTTCCCGCAACTAAAATCTAACCAATCATCTCTTTTTTTGTTTTATTCGCTTTTCTTCTTCAGTAGCCCTTTATTTGTAGTTATTAAATACACATTTATTAAAAAATGTTTGAATTTAAATATTTATAACATAACCAAAAACATTACATTTTTTATCATTTTCAGTAAAAGACTAACCTAATACGGATTCATTGACCTCTTTGATTTATTCATTTCCTTCAAAAAATTAATGACGACATCTTAAAATTTTGCTCAGTACTGTTTATGTTCATGCATTGAAAGAGTTCCACGATTAAGCACCTATAAATTCGGGGCGGCAGAAAATAAATCGCAAGGCTAAACCTATGTTTGTAGTGAGTTTTTCCATTGGAAAATGTTCCGAGCTACATTTCGGCAACTACACGTATTTCGGTGTCCCGATTCGATTGGATGAATTAAAAAAAAAAGGAAAACACCGCCGGGAAACAAACTTAGGACCCTCCATGTGCAATGCAAAATTTTTCCCTACAAGTTCATTAATCACGCTTACTTAGCTATGTATTAAATGAAGAAAGAATAAAATGTTTAAACAATAAAAATAATATCAATAGGAAGCAACATCGCGGTGGATTCATAAACCACAAGTATATGAGTATATTATTTTATAAAATTTAAAAGGTGTTATTACAATACATATTTTCTTAGTTTAAGGGAGCATAAATCAAAATAAAAATTACATCCCTAATCAGAATTCATATGTTCATCCCTTGCAAAAACTTGTGGCGGCATATCAAAATGTTGCACTTTCATTTTAAATTCTGAAAAGTTTCAGTACATGTAGTTTCTTCGTGCACTCATATTTCTTCGAACTGTTTATACAGGTGTACAAAAAAATAAATAAATGAAGAACGTCGTCCTATTCACCCGAGTACTATTATTTTTCAACCCACTATACACCACAACACTTCTTTCCTCTCCACTTCGGCAACCACTGATACACCTTCCGTTCCGGCCGAAGACCAACCCAACCCAAATGACCATCCTCACTCAAACCCAATCTCCCCACCCTCCAATCAAGACAAGTCAAACAAAACCGCTGACAAACAGCTGAGAGCAAAAGTAGTGGGAGCCAGGCAACGGCTGTCGTCGACATATGGTACCAATTTAACCGCTTCTTTTTCCACCAGCTCCACATGAGCGCGAAGTGAACGTGAACGGGAGGTTCCGGTTTCGAGCTTACGTGATCCGTCCTTCATGAAAAACCGAGAAAAATGCGTTTTCTCGTCGTTTTCTCGCTCCTCGCGCTTGCACTTTCACCGGCCTCGTCCTTCGGCATTCACGACGCTCTCGACGTCGTCGGCGTCGCGAAAGACGTCGTGATATGGATAGCCAAAGCGTGGAACCTCATCGAGGGGCACGTGGAGTTTTCGGACGTGCCGCTTCCCCTCCTGGAGAAGACCGAAAAGCAACTGTTCGCGAAGATAGACCTCATCAACACTAAACTCAACTAGGGATGGGCAGATTCGGTCATCACCACGAACGGGTCGTTCATCGTTCGGTCCCTACGAAGACCCGGTCGTCAAATGTCGTTCATTTCGTTCATTTCGTTCATTTCGTTCACTTCGTTCACCGTTCACATCGTTCACCGTTCACTTCGTTCATAATCATTCAAGGCTCAGGGATCTATTGATGAATCATTCGGTCTTTCGGCTCTTCGGTCAATGGTCTTAGTTTCCCTTTTGCTTGAATCCGATCACTGTATAGGGAAGGTCATGCTCAGAACTATCGCATAGGTATTCGAAAAAAAAACCCGGCCCATTGCTGTCTTTTTTTTCGAATACTGCATTGTGTGATACGTCAAATTAAATCGTTTGAAATATACTATGATCTGATTCGAAAAATTAATGATTTAACGTTTATTTGGTTTTGTCTACATTTAATTTTTTTTAATGCCTCCCATTTTTTTAGAGATTCATGTAACGATTTTTTTCTGAATTCTGTGATGTAAAAATAATAATTTAATATTTAAAAAAAGTAACTTGAATTTGTGGACGCAAATAATTGTGTTAATAAATACATCAATAGCACTTTTGACACAAAAATTAAATTCGTTTTTATTACAGCTTCCAAGCAACTTTTGACTAAAAAAAAATAATTTATTGGATCTTTCGAATCATTCGGTCGTCGCCCTTACGATTAACAATGTAGGAGCAGATTTGTTTTGTTTCCTTTTATACCTTTTCCTTACGTTCTAATGTGATGAAGCCGTGAATAGTCACGTTCATTGACTATATTATACATTACCCATTTTACGTGGCCATAGGGATTTTTTTTATTAATAATCATTACAATAGTAATAATAATTATTTATTTACATTTATTTTTTTAGTTTCTAATGTTCAGACGTTTATGAACATTGTATATTAGTTATCGTCATAAATTGTCATTTTCGTTCCCGGTTCCTAATTTAAATTCATACTACTGGAATTAATCTGTCGGGAAAACTTATGTTCTTAGTTAATTCCATAAATAGCATAGCATGTGCTCCTAGTATTTGATACAGAACATAGAACTGTGCTGGAACCATGATTCAAAGATCCAACGGAATTAAGATTCAGTCGAGACAATGTGAACGGTGAACGAGTGAACGAGTGAACGAAATGAACGAAAGAACGACCAGTTTGCGTTGGGAACGATTTCG